ACATAAGAGTAAATCAAAGAACAAGATTTGTCATATAAAATTATAGAGTCACAGTACCTGTGCTCGACCAGCCCAGTGCTCGACCAATACTTCTATTTGTGTACGATTGATGCATTAATGTGGAAAAACCCTGATGCACTGGTATAATTCATTATATTTTCCTGTTCCTATTTCTGTTCTTCAAATGTGAAAATATTTCGTTTAAAAAAAAGTAACAAGTTCTTAGTTCTCAGGAGCTTGATTTGGAGCTCAATTTACTGCATCATATTGTTATTTTTCCAGCAGCGTTTCGACATAATTTTACGAAATGAAACAAACTTCTACAGAATAACTAAGCATTCACTACTTACTTATCTGTAGATTAAACAAGTTAAATGAGCATAAAAGATTAGATTTTCATTAATCAAAAAGGTCGGAAACGACTCGGACTTTCTGTGTTTTTATGCTCCCCGAAGGGTGAGCATATAGTCGCCGCTTTGTCCGTCTATCTGTCCGTCCGTCCGCTATTCTTGTCCGGAACTAACTTTGAAACAACAAGAGGTATCAACACGAAACTTTGTAGGTAGATAGATCTCATTGAGAAGAAGTGCAGTGCAAAAAAACCCATAACTCTGTCTTGCCTAATTTTGGAGTTATTGTCCTTTGTTCATTTTTACACTTTGAACTTTGTCCGGGACATAACTCTAAAACTATAAGAGACATCAACATGAAACTTTGTAGGTAGATAGATCTTATTGAGTAGAAGTGCACTGCAAAGAAACTATAACTCTGTCTTGCCTATTTTTTTAGTTATTGCCCTTTGTTCATTTTTACACTTTGACCTTTGTCCGGGTCATAACTCTAAAACTATTTAATGAATCGCTCAAAGCAAAATGCATTTGCAGTTGCATTTTTTTTAGATAATTTCTGTATGTGTTTTATTTTGTTTATTAGTGTACCTGTTGATATATCCGATGTTAAAATTTATGTCAATGGATCACGAGAATAAAGATAACATGTAGTAATAAAACATCATAATGAGAATCCGGTCGATATAAGAAACTCCCTGAAACACTTGTTTGCTGTAAGTAAACTTCCCAATTTTAATTAAAGAAAGTGGGAAAGTATGTAGATTTCACTAGTTAATTAGTATAATCTTGCATTTAGGCCAATTAGTTACAATAAATAGATTGATTTTGCTGAAGTTAAAAAGTAGAATTATTGGACAATTAAAGACCAAACAACTTGCATATTGCCTTACTACATACAAACTTAATGAATTGGTTGATAAGAAAAAAGGTAGGCCTAATACTAATGAGTGAAGGGACGGGATAATGTTAAAAGTAGTTTTATGCATGCCTTACATGCAATACAATAAAATCAATATAGTTTTGGCGTAATAAAAAACACAAGTGAAATAAGTATGATAATGTAGATCTAATAAAAATAAATAAATACACTACCTATTGTTCCAATTGTTTGTACTCTAATTTTTTAGACAATGTTTTAAGAAGTCTTCTAGGGACTTTTAATTATTCTTTCATGTGAGGAAGTTATCCAGCTAGCCAACATAACGTTGGTGGTTCTACTCAGGTACTTACTTTATTGTTCCTGAAACAATGCGAAAAAAGCACGTAGGGGCACCGAAGACTTCCTCCACCAGAAAAACTTGAAAGTCGCTATATATATAATGACCACTACATTGTTGTCGCGGCGTAAAAACAGAGACATATGATACAATGTATGTGGTAACTGAACAAAACATATGTAACAGCATTAACTCCCGTTTTATCCAGATTTGTCGGGTAGATTATAAGCAAGAAACAAGTGCATGCTTCAATATTGTATTTATTTCTTAATTCTAGTCTTATGTTTTAATGTAAGTTACAGTTAATTAATAGTATACATATTAAATTTATAGCACAACAACACAAATATAATTTTATTCTACTGTAAGGCACACATTTAAAATGAATGAGAATAATCTTAGCTTTATAAAATTTAGAAACCCTGGCTGAAAAATATTTTTCTCTCTCTTATTTCAAGCTAGTTTCTTAAGAGGTAAGATATACAATTTGGATGTCTTTGAACCAGCGGGTAAAATGAAGATTTTCGGTCAGTATATATCCTTCCCGTACCAAAATGCATGAAAATTTCATGCTCAAATTAAAAACACTTTGACGCAATTACACTTATAATTATTGATTTAAAACAAAGCTGTATATTCTACAATATGTAGATAATTAACTGAACCACGGATCTTAATTACAATAATATGTTATATAAACCGTGACTAAACGTTAACAAAATGGAAAATCACAGTAGGTAAACGAAATTACTGTAGCCAGATTGTATACAAGCACTTGTTACCTTTCTTAGGAGCCTACATGATTTAACTTGCTATAACAGGAATTCTCTGTCAAAATGAAGAGTAAATTAATACTTATTGAATGACCTTAACTGTGTCGTATATTTAAAAAATGTATGCATGATCTCAACGTGTAATATAGTACCGTTAGTAACAACTTATTAAGAAATAGACCAGTGCAAAAAAAAAAAAACACACACAAAAAAAACCCAAAAAGAACATTGTCTTTATTCGATTAGAATTTAAATTCGATTAGAGAATTTTGTTCCAAAACATTTCATTCAAGCTCGCCATAATACAAAATCAATATGGCGACCATAACAGAGTGTTCTTATTTTTAATTGAACTATTCCATTAAATGTTCTTTATCTTAACCTGTGGTTTGTGTATGAGCTCTTGAATAATAATAAGTGAAAGTCGTCTTAGTAGCGATAGAAATGTCACGCGGGAGTTACCAAGATCTGCGCCGTCATCTCTTAGAAGAGGAAGAGGGTGCTGACTTCGTAAGTTATGATGATGATGATCTTCAAGCAGCCGCAAGATTGAAAAGGAAACGACACAGGTAAACGGTTTGCAAGTTGCACTTTTAGCAATAATGGAGCCAGGTTTGCAGTTGTTGAGGGGGGGGGGGGGAGTGAAAATATTATACAGTGTTATACTACATGTAGGAACTTTTAGATGTAAAGGTGCAAAATTACCTAACTAAGACTCCTCTGTATTTTTCAGTAATGATCTTTTTAATATAAAGTAAGTAAACTAATGACAGACTGAATCAAATGCATGTTTTTACTGCTGGTTAAGAACTACGATCTTTTCAAGGAGATAGCTCTCTTAGGAAGGGGTATTTTACTGTGTGCTACTAATTTTCCTAAGTGGTCCTGATTTGAGTTTTTTTTCGGATTTTCTAGTTTATGTGTTTTGCTAATCTCATAGAGATTTCATGTACTAGAGGAATCCCTGGGTGTCATGACCATGTATTTTGCTTTGCACATTTATTTTAGACAAGGACTAATGAATCAATTTATCTTTGATTAATGACAAAACTGCAAAGCTGCACTGAACTGCTCTTGGTTAGGGAATAGGACAGCTGCAGGGGATAGGATGTTCCAGTGGTATACAGTCTTAGGAAAGAATGAGACTGTTTTATTCTGAAGTTGCTGTGAATAGCCTAATACTGCCTATAAATTGAGTATAATACAGGGAATGGCCGATTTGTGATGTACGGGAGAGGGGTGTCATATTCTTCCATGGGAATAGCAACCAGACCATGGTGAATCTTGTAGAAAAAGGATAACCCAGCATCCATATTATGTCTGAGTTTAACATATTCAAAGGTTAAGGGAGTCTGACAATAATCTAGCTTGATCCAATGTGCTGCTATTTTGGGCAGTAATATAAAAATTATGTATTTTGCCCAACTGATAAATTCACCCCATTACAATTATTGTCATTTATCAGAAATTTTCTATTGGGAGAGCTTATTGTTTAGACATTTATTTAAGGTATGGATTGATTCTTACCAACTTGTCCCATGGTCAACTAGTTACATATTTGGTCAACCCGTCCCATATTCAACTTGTCCCTTAGTCAACTCATCACCTAATTTCTATGCTATCAAAATGGTTAATGTGTTATCAGAAAATTTAATAATTGTAAAACTTGTAGAAACTCTGAAAGTGGGTAACTAGAAAATTCCCAAACTTAACAACAGAACATAGACCTCCATGCTTTGTACATCATGATTACGGTAATTTTTCTTAATTTTGTTTATCATTATTACAAAGTTTGTTGTGTATTTATTTCAGGGTAAGAGCATGTTTATGGATCAGTTGTGGTGTTTTTATTATTGCTTTGATTGGAGTTGGACTGTTTTTTGGTACTGGTGGGATAAAGAACACATTTTTCCCTCACAAGCATTCTCGTCTTGGGAAGTATAAACATGCAGCGGTGGCATCAGATGTTACTCAATGTTCCCAGATTGGCAGGTACTGAAAACTTTGATAAAGATTTATGATAGGTTATATATGATATATATTTATGATAGGTTGTAAGCTGACATACATGTAGCCCAAGCCACTAGGCAATGGTTATATGGCCAAAACCTGTTGATACACAGCCATATAACTTGTCAAGCGTTAATAAGGAATTTTTATTGCTGCATCAATTGTTTTATTTTATTAAATATTTTTAAAGGAGTATGCTACAGTTACCTTATAGGCAGAACAAAAACTATAAAATGTAATTTGTTTTTAAACTTTCCATTGCAGATAACTAAAAAAACAAGCTTAGTTATCCCATATTTGTTTTTCATCTAGATTAAGTGTATGATGGCTTGTAGGACAAACTTCCTTTTTTGCTGCTATCTCTTAAGTAAAATGGCATTTACTGTGTTTATAATTAGATTGGCTTATATATTACAACTATATGCATCATAAAAAAATAAGAATAGCTATAATGCAGGTTTCATCAGATATGTATACATGTGTTAATTGTAGGGACATTCTGGAAAAGTTGGAAGGGAATGCGGTAGATGCAGCCATAGCATCTTTACTATGTATGGGGCTCACAGACCCTCAGAGCATGGGGTTAGGTGGTGGTTTCTTTATGACTATCTATAATAGGTATGTTTTACACAAAAGGATCCCTATTAATGGTTAAGGGTACATGTATGTGCATATAGGATTTTACTAGGTCCTCACCTCTTTGGCCTTGGTTCAAGTCTCATCACGAATTTTAGATCCTTTTATGTGTGGGAGATATCCAGCTGGCTTATGGAAGGTTGATGGTTCTACTCAGGCGTATGTTTGTCTGTGTTGGAAATAAAGGACATAATGGGCACCTGAGGTCTTCCTGCACCAGTGAAGGTAAAGGTTTGGAAAAATGCCATATGACCTTAAATAAAATTTGTTTGACCCCCAACCCAAACAGACCCAAAGAAAATAACAGGAGTGGGGGTACATTTCATACATTTAAATAAAGCCCTAGAGGAATCCAACACGAAGTTATTACATAAATATTAACTTCTATTAAATAAAGTTTAAGAAAAATTGTTTATAAAGGCAAGCCTATGGGCAAAGCTTTTTAATATATTTTTCTTGAACAAGTTTTAATAACATCTTTTATATAATTGTACAGTAAAACTTGTCAAAATTGTGACTTTCCATTTGGGACCTTGTCAAAAAGGTCACATATGACAGGGAGTCTTTTAATCCAGGTTCCCAAAAAAATCATCAGTTGTTTCAAAATGCTATTTCTAGATCGACTATTCCCAGAATAATTGAGCTAATGCAGTCACCCATTGTCGGCGTCCCTGTGGTTAAGTTTTTGCATGTAAGCTGGTATCGCCATAACTACTGAAGGGAATGGATTGAAACGTGACACACTTGTTCTCTGTGATTGTCTAAGATGAATGGCACAAATCCCATAACTCTGATTTGCTTTTTTGCATTAATTATGCCCCTTTTTTCTTACTTAGAAATTCTTGGTTAAGTTTTTGTGTGTAAGCTGGTATCTCCATAACTACTGAAGGGAATGGATTGAAACTACACACACTTGTTTTCTGTGATTATCTGAGATGAATGGCACAAATCCCATAACTCTGATTTGCTTTTTGCATAATTATGCCCCTTTTTTTACTTAGAAATTCTTGGTTAAGTTTTTGTGTGTAAGCTGGTATCTCCATATAACTACTGAAGGGAATGGATTGAAACTTCACACTCTTGTTGTCTGTGATTATCTAAGATGTGGCACAAGTTCCATAACTTCTGATTTACTTTTTTGCATAATTATGCCCCTTTTTTCGACTTAGAAATTCCAGGTAAATTTTTTTGCTTGTAAGCTGGTATCTCCATAACTACTGAAGGGTTTGTACCTTTGTGGACAATTTTATGTATTCATATAGGTAAGCATTATTATACTCAATGAAGCACCCTTGTGACAACTTTTCGAAAAGTCAAGCGTTACTGTCCTTCGACAGTTCTGGTTACTTGTTTGGCTTTTCTTTGATTGTGTTTTCATTGTGTTACATATATGTAATATTTAAATTTGGTTTGTTGAAGATATAGGATAATTTTTATTTAAATACTTTATTATAGTAATGTTAAAATGTTTTTAAAAATAAAAATGTTTACATGCATAACTATACAAATACAATGTATTATAGATATGAAATTTTAAAAGAAGAGCCGAAATGATTTCACAATGAAACTTATGTACATAAAATGTATTATTATAAAAGTATCATGTTAAAAATTTTAAATATCATTAAAAATACTAAAATGTGTTCATTTTAGTCTGAATTATAAAACCCGAAGCGTCTGTATCTGCCGAAACCTATTTCCTCAGCAATTTTGTAGGCTGGGGTGCAGGCATCAAGCTTTTTGAATGCCTGAATTTTTTCTTCAAGAGTCAGAACAATTCTTTTTTTACATGCTTTGTCAGCCATATTTTTATGATCTGAAGTGCCCGGATGTTAGTACATGTTTCTATCCACGCGTTCTATCTGTTTCTATCCGCACGGACGGTTGTAATTTACTGCTTGGTCAAGTAGATGTAATCAGGAGATTATTTATTTTTAAACTTGGACAGTTATAATGACTAATAACTTCGTATTGCTATCTTAATACACAGCAATTTCAATGCTATTGTTAAAGATAGTGACAATGCTCAATTAACACCTTTTACAATGGTGATAAACATTCGAGACAATGGCGCTCAATTTTGACGGACAAATGTCAATTGAAAGCAAGAAGTGTGAAAAACATAATTCTTGTGAAAATGAAAAAGCCATTTAATTTGGTCATAGAAATGTAACGGGAAGCTAAATTTAAGGTCGTTAGTCCCGTCAGACAGGGAGTTGTTAATTCAGTGACTTTATATAGTGATTTACGTTGGGCAGTCTAAAATAAGGTCGTAAACGACAGGAAGTCGTTTAAATCAGTGAGTTGCTATGGCAAGTTTGACTGTATATGACAACAAATGTGAGATTCTTTTTTCAACAAGACTTTTTAACTTTTTTGCCATTATTTATGATCAATAAGATGGCTATAAATCTTTGTTCTATTACAGGACCACTGGAGAAAGTTACAGTATTGATGCCAGAGAAACTGCCCCACTTAATGCAACAGAAGATATGTATTATCACAATGAAAGCTCTACAAATGGTAAAGGGACTCCTTCAATTTATTTTTTTCATTCGTTACTTTGCTCTGTCCTACATTAAAGCAGATTAAAGTAGCTTGGGCCTTTGCTGCATGGATGATTATCCTGCATAAGATTGCATACAGGTGTCTGCCTGTAAATTTTAGATCCAGGAATCGTGGGGTCAGGTCTATATTCCTTCATGACACCAGTTCTGGAAAGTTCAAGGAAACAGTCTTGCACCTGATTGAAATAAGTAACAAGCTTTCATCACTGTGGATCACAGGGGATCTTTAACAGATGTGGTTTAATTATAAAAAATTTAATTAAGAAAGAGATATATGTACATAGGTTCAGTATGGCAGTGGTATATATTACATTTTATATATAGATAGTCATATTCAAGCTAACATCAGCACATGAATTTATAAAATCAACTGATTGGTTGTTTTATCTATACAGGTGGTCTAGCTATTGGTGTGCCTGGTGAAATACGTGGTTACGAGGACGCCTGGAGAGATTATGGAAGCTCACATTTGTCATGGTCAGATCTTTTCAAGCCAGCTATTGACATGGCTCAAAACGGTTTCAAAGTGCCAAAATCACTGGAAAATGCCCTGAATGACTTTTTAGATGATCATAAAAGTTCTGATATCAAAACAACATACCCTCAGTTTTGGTGAGTGTTATTCCAGCAGTTTCATTGTCCCAAACATATTGCTGAACTACTTATTTTTTCTTCTTAATTTTCAATTGAAAGAGAATCACCATCTTTGTGGTAAAGTTGTCAACTTTTCAGTGCAGGAATCAAGGTTTCCAGCCATACTTGGGTCACAGCTATGTTTTCTCTTATCACACCAGTATTGGATAAGTTTGGGAAACTTACTTGACAGAGATCTAAATGAACAAATAACCTGCAAACTAATTTAGATAATGCATTATTTTCAAAGTCAATTACTTTCAATTTAATGTCAATGTTATGTTCAGTTTTAAAACGTTTTTGGTGGAATTTCAGATTTTTTTGTGGTGAATATTTGTAAATAAGATCAAATGGCAATATTCCACATTTACTAATTGAGGAAGATCTCAGGTGACACTACTTACATTTGTTCAGAACAAGCAGGCACTTGAATAAAAACCTTTGTTCTTCAGTAAGCTATCTGGGTAAAATGTTTATTTGAGTTTATTTATACTGGCCATTGGTTGCCCAAATAGATGAGTCCTCCAGAAGAGTATTAGCCATTTTAAGTTTTGGAGGATAATGCATGATACAGAAACAGAAAGATTTTCCAACAGAAGCTTCTCCAGGTTCTTTAGCTTGCCAAGTGTTTAAAACTTCAAGCACTCATACAAGGCATAACAAGGGACAGAGTTAATCTGAAAAACTGTTTAGTTGTCCAGCCTAGGAATCGAAACCCAGAATGTTGAGATTACAAGCCTTGCGCTCATCATCATAGATCTATGTGGGTTGTCATAATAAGAAATTTATTCTACACACATATAAACCATTTATAGCTTTAATACAATACCAATAAATAGGACAAGTAGTACATGTAACTAGAATTATGCTGTAAATGCTAACCTCTTTATCATTTTAGGAAAACCTATCATAACTCTAAAACAGGAGAGTACTATAAGGAAGGGGAGGTAATAAAGCTACCAGAGTTGTCTCAAACTTTGGTTACTCTGTCAAAAGAAGGTGCAGACGCATTTTACCAGGGTAGTCTGACATCACTCATTCTGGAGGAGTTCCGGTCTTCAGGTAAGAAAATTCATACACTATATTGTTAATACTCTTGTAGATCAATCAATACCTGTTGCCTGTTGCAGTTGTTAGGTGTTTCATAGACTCCAATTTGTTGTACACTTTACTTGACTAGTGATTTATACCATTCATGATTGTCTTAGATGGTGGGGCGTCTGTGGCTGAGTGGTTAAGATTGCTGACTTCAAACCACTTGCCTCTCACCGCAGTGGGTTCAAATCTGACAGAGACTTTGGATTCTCTCATGTGAGGAAGCTATCCAGCTAGCTTATTGAACATCGGTGGTTCTACTCAGGTGTCCGTTTGAGCCTGAAATAATTAACAGAAGGGCACTTGAGGTCTTCCTCCACCAGTAAAGCTGGAAAGTCACCTTATGACTGTGTTGGTATGATGTAAAACCCAATCAAAACAAACAAACAAAACTTAGATGGTAAGTTAACATAATCTTTGAAGGATATCCATGTAAATTTTTTGTTTGTAACATATATGTATGTTAAAAGTAAGTTAACATAATCTTTGAAGGATATCCATGTAAATTTTTGTTTGTAACATATATGTATGTTAAAAGTAAGTTAACATAATCTTTGAAGGATATCCATGTAAATTTTTGTTTGTAACATATATGTATGTTATAATCTGAATATGATCAGATACCATCACTTTGAGAGTTTTCAAAAAAGCTTTTTAAGCTTCCTACTCAATCCATAAATTTATTTTATGTACTTTATGATGTAAATGAAAAGGTTACAAATAAATATTGTTTAAACTAAATAGAATATGATGAATATGTTTTCTGTATTTATGAATCAGTTTTTTTTAAGATAAGTAAGAATGAGTGCATGCCCAAAATTTAATAATTCCTGTAATTTTTTTTTTCAAAGTTTTATTATCTTTTTACCCAGAATGCAATTTGTTACAGGTGCTATAATTGGAGAAGAGGACTTGAAACAATATAAAGCAGTGACCCAGAAATCATTGAAGGTCAAACTGACCAATGGTTACACTATTTATGCCCCAGAGTCTCCGTCCAGTGGTGCTATACTAATGTTTATACTCAATATATTAGATGGTAAGTCTGGAAGTATTTATTTTACTGACTGGTATATAGGTCTTTACATTGTCTTAACCACATGCTCAATTTTTGGTGGTGTTGTCTAGCGAACCATTATATTTTTTGTTCTATAAGGTGGGTAGAGCATAGGTAGATTGTTAAAAAACTTGCCAGCCAAATTTCTCTCATCCTAAAACCATGATGTGAAGAATGTGTTGATATATCAAGTTCTTGTCAGCTCATATCCATTGTTAGTTACCCACAGTATATATTACATAAATACTATAATACCCGATGTCTAGATATATGTAGTATGTTCGGAATATATACTGTGGGTAATTTACGATGCCCATATCTAGTCTTGTTTCATATATCCGATGTAGACCTCTATGATAATGATCCAATGGGTTTATGGAATGGTACATAGAATGATATGATTGAAGAATTTGTCAGCCAATTTTCCTGACAACGGACAAACTCATTTTGTCCTCCTTTATCCATTTAATTTTCAATTTAGAACTGTCTATTATATATTTAATTTAATAGAATTTCAAGAAGTAAATTTTCTGTCACTTATTTCAATTTTTGTACAGGTTAAATGGAAGTTTACATGGTCCAAGCCTCTAGAAATGTGGACATTATACAGAAAATTGCTTTATATTCACATGATAGTTATTTTGTGAAAGTTCCCATCCTGATTATATTTTGCAAATTCATAACAATGAGTGATTTTTTTTGGCATGCTATTTTCTCATTATAACGAGGAAGGACGTCTAAATAACATTTATTTCCATACAATGAGGAAATTATTCCTGATAAATGTACCTTAAATGCTGTCCCGATGCGGATTTTTAATGACAATTATCAATTTCATATTCCCTCATAATTGATTTATTTTCAACCAATTTGAAAAAGAACAAAAGATATTTCATAATCTTGTTTGATTATTATTTATGTTACAATATATACTTGTAGGTTATAATATAACACCAGATGATGTTAAGACTACAGACGGGCAAGTGTTAACCTATCATAGAATAATAGAAGCATTCAAGTTTGCCTATGCTAAGCGGACAGATCTAGCTGATGGAGCATTCTGGCCTAATGTCACCAATGTAGGTAACCTTCATATATAGCACACTGATACTGCTATAGTCATTTGACAGAAAATGTTTTCAGTCAGTTTTATGATTGACAAAATGTATACATTGTATTCAGCTGTTTGATGTCACCATATGTAGGTAGTATTAACTTCCAGCCTAGTAATCCTTATGATGGTCAGTTGATTGATAATGTTTTTACACAATTTTAAGATTAATGAATCGTAAACAATGATTTACGCAAGAATTGGTTGTTATTGTGCTATTTTCATATATTTAATACAAACTGTACGGGTAATTTTACATTGAACCATGTTATAATGGAATATATTTGGACTTGTCACTGCTTGACAAACCAATTTGTTATTATTGTTCTATTTTCATGTATTTATTGGTAATTTGACATTGAACTATACTATACTGGAATATATTTGGACATGTTGCTGCTTGACAAGTCACTAAAAGAGTCCAATATGAATTCTTAAACTGTGTAGGAGTCATGATATTTTCCATATTGTACATTTAAATTGTCTATCATTGTAAGCTCTAAAAATAATGACTCACAGCATAATGTGATGAGACCTAAATGAATTACATTGTATTTGAACTTGGACTTTGTTGTACATTGAGGTAAAGGATTAATAGAATCTATCATTGGGTTAGATAGAGGATAGGGAAATCCCAACCCGAGGGTGATCAGTTCCATCGGGAACGAGCCTTGGCGAGTTCCCGATGGAACCGATTGCCCGAGGGTTGGGATTTCCCTATCCTCTATCTAACCCAATGGTTGATTATTTTTCTCACTCACCTGAACACACAAATATCAGTGAATCTACTTGCTACGCCCATTACAACGTACCTAGTTTTGAAAAGGGGGCGGGGCTTAGGCGCCTGACTTTCTATGATTAAAAAGCATTATGTACGTCCGCAAAAAATTCTTCTGACCAAGTTTCTGTGTGAAAAATTTAATGAAAATAAATTCATATGAGACCCCTCATGAAAAAGCAAGGTTATCATGATGAAACACATCGATATTAAAATGGGAAAGTGCCATAATATAAGTGTTTATAAGGAATTCAGTCCATACTTCAATGGTTGACAAAAAAGCGTTTACCGTTTGCAAAGATTTTTCTACTTTTTCGGATATTTTGGCCGAATATTCAATTAAAATATATCAAAATGAGATTCGTCATCAAAAAGCATCGTTATCATAACAAAAACATGAATGTTTTTCAGGCAAAGTGTCCTAATATCCGATTTTACGAAGAACGTTTCGATATTTTAAAGTGTGCTATTTTAGTAACAGATCGTTATTGGAAATGGCAGATCTAGGTAGAGTAGGACTCATTGCAGTGTGAAAGTTAATATCAATCTATTTTGATTCCGTAGACAATTTAATAGATTAGCTTACAAATTTTTAATACATTTTGACCTTTTGACGTTTAATTTTTGTTAAAATAGGAGTGAATCGCGTATTATTTAGAAGTGCTGCATGTTGAGTGTGAGATAAGCCCATGTGAGATAAGATTTTCCAACACCGCTATTTTTAGTAACATTTACGGATTTTTCTATCTGGTTAGTGAGAAAATTTATTCCAAAAAGAATTATTTTCTTTGTTAGTTTTGTTTTCACAAAATGTTATACAATTCTCTTTACTGATGTTATATGGATACTTTTGTTGTTAACTGTTCTTTTTTCCTGTGATAGTGTTTGGGAAAAATGCTACACAACTTAATTCCTAATTGCAACTAATGTACAGTTTCTCTGTAAAATGTATTTCAAATGAATAGAAATAGTGTCCTCTAAACTAAAGGCAAGAAAGTTAAATTGAAGTCCATTAACTGAACAATAATGATCCCCAAAATTGTGGTTTGGATACAGTTATCTGAAACTCTATGCTTGGCAGTATCTTATTTATGTTTCATTATCAATGGAATTCTGTAAAATTGCAATAATATAAAATATTATTGAACAAATCTTTTTTTTTTAGATCTGAAAAATGTTTTATATTATTTTCACAGCTTGTAGCAAATCTGACATCAAGAGCCTATGCAGATTCTATTCGTGAAATGATTTGGGATAATCAAACACACCCTTATCAATATTACGGACCAACGTTTTATCAAGACAATAAAACAAGCACAGCCCATCTGTCAGTGGTGGATAAGTTTGGTAATGCTGTGTCTGTCACTAGCACTGTCAATACAAGGTAAAGAATTTTCTTTCATTTTAATCCATTGATCAAATTCAAAAATATAACAATTTCTTTAAGGAGTTATATATGGAAAATGCTTGTTTAACAACATAATTTACCCATGCAACCAGTGCCAGACAAAGATCAGCTTTCTTATCATGGTCTGCACTGTTGGTTATTCAGTCAGTAAGTACTTTTGTAATTGCCCCTAAAATCTAAAATGATGAATGGTTCTGTCCAGACGGAAAGATGGACAAGTTCATTTAAGATATTCAGCATGATTAAGCTAAAGTTGAAGAAACTTGAAATTACACTTGTTTCTTCTGATATATATTTAAAGGGTATAAATTATATCTTATGAAATATTTTTATAAAATTTATCAATAGTAAAATTATATTGGTTCCATTATTATATGGTTGTTTCCCAAAAAAGTTGTAACATATAATGTCTCTGTTATTTAAGACAGAATATTGTATGTTAACAGAACAAATGTTCAGGAACAAAATATTATTTACTATTTTAAGTAGGAATATATCCGTTTAGTTTGGTTTTGTGCATACATCATTCGCTTTTTAGGCAATTTACTACTATTTTTATTTTCAAGAAGCATTTTGGAAGTATTCTTTTTTAAAATTTAAATAGTAATTTTTTAAGCAAATACATAGCTTTATACACTTTAATAGCTTGGTAAAGAATTGAATTTTATATGACTGGAATTTAGATTTTATCTCTGAAATTGTCTTATTTTCAGGTTTGGTTCAAAAGTGTTTGGAGCAAAAACTGGTATAGTTTGGAATAATGAAATGGATGATTTTGCAACTTCAAATAAACCTAACGATTTTGATGTATATCCGTCACCAGCCAATAAGATTGTGCCAAAGAAACGACCACTCTCGTCCATGTGTCCAGCTGTATTTGTTGACAGTGAGGGAGATGTCAGACTTGTCGTAGGGGCCGCTGGAGGGTCCAAGATCACCACGGCAACTGCTTATGTAAGTCTGGCTGGTTATTGAAGATTTACAAAGATGGAAATAATAGAAGATTTGATCTACTTAATACATGTACATGTTTATATAGTTATGCAGTTTTGTCTGCCCATAATAAAGTTTGGGTGAAAAGGTTTTATTTTTATGCTTTTAAATTTGTATTTTACTTGTTCATTTGAACTTCCTTCTTGACATTGGTTTGTTGTTTGAGTTGCTCAGTTAGATATCTTATACATGTAATAACATATAAATATAGGCTTGACAAGTAAATCAAATTTATGTATGACAACTTAACATGTTTGTATTACACATACAATGTTAAATATGGGATTAAATTGTGAAATCGTTCATAATGTATTTATCCCGGGGCAATTGTGTCAATTATTCAGTAAATATACATACCTCAATACCAGATATTTATGAAAGTTTCGGATTTTTAGCTTGACTGTTTGAAGAATAGGGAGAAGTTTTTTCATGCAAGTTGATATCTCCGGAATGGGTTGAAACTTCACACACTTATTTTATAGAGCATTATAGGAAGTCACTATCCAATGTCCATAACTCTACCTTAGATTTTGACAGAATTATGACCCTTTTTGAATTAAATTTTTTTTACATAATTCAGATTTTTGTTTTAATATCAAGCACTGAGAATAGTTGAGCATGCTGTCCTACCAATATCTCTTGTTATTTTAAGTTGTTCATTATACTGCAGGTTGCAGCGAGGGTAATGTGGTTTGGTGAGAATATAGAACAAGCAATAGATGCATTACGTTTGCATCATCAACTGTTGCCACCTTATTTCTCCTATGAGACAGGATTTAATATGGTAATTATCAATCTTGCTGATTTCTAAACTTGTTTCATGAATTTGAATTGTTGCAGTATTTATTTGTATATAGAGAATATTTAAGTTATTTAGCCATGAGTAAAATATGATCATTTTAATACCACAAGATGAAAATAAATCCTGTATTGATAGAAAAAAACTAGAATTTTCTGTTTATTATATGCATTTTTCTCTTCTTTTTTTTTACATTGCATTTTGAATGACTTCCCCTTAAATTTTGTGTATTTGATGAATTTAAAAGAAAGAAATTAGCTTTTTACCCTTTAACAGTGTTATAAAATCTCTGCACATTTGGGGAATGAACTTTTTGGACTAAAATAATCAAGATAAATGTGTTTTTGGCATAGAATTACACTTAAGTTGTTGCCCTATTTAATTAGCTAATTTAGTAAAGATACATACCAAATAGTTATCTTTTATCAATATTTGCTATATTTCTACACAATAAATTATTTTAGTTTTATTTTATAATTGTTTTAAAGAAGAAATTTAGTCTAACATGGAAAAAGAATTGAAAAGGAAATGAAGAATTGAACAAGGGACAGACATGTCTTACTAGTCAAAGCTAATAAATAGAGAGGCAAATAAAAAAATATTAATTTTTTCTTGTTTTTCAGGAGATAGTTAAGGGGTTAAAGGCGAAAGGTCACAATGCATCGGAGATCGCTGTGGGCAAGTCTATTGTACAGGGTATAGTGAGAGATGGTGGATATCTGTATGCAAATAGTGACTATCGTAAAGGTGGTCTCACTGCTGGATACTAAATTGTCATCTTTATACATTGAAGTAAGGGAACAAATACTTGATGAATCAAAGATAGGAAAAATGTGCTTATGAACCCATACAAGAATGTAGGCGAGCCCCCATATTGGTGGTTTTGCAAATAATTTATGATGTGACAAAAAAAGTACTGAAAATAGGTAAACATGAAAATTGATAAAAGGAGCCAAGTTATTATAATTATAATATTATTCTGGAAACATTTAAATAATAATTATCAACTTCACAAAGTTTAAACCTCCAACGTTTCGAGGGGATAAACCCCTCTTTATCATGGAGTTTCTGTTTATTTTTATGTTCTTGTCTTACACTATGTTTTGTATACAGGAAACAGAAACTCCTTCCCATCGAAACGTTGGAGGTTTAAACTTTGTGAAGTTGATAATTATAATGATAATAGTTGACATTAGTTGATATTTTTTTATGTTATTTTATATAAGCGTTTGTAAACAGTAGGAGTACTGGCCTTATTGAATCAAAAATGAATAGGAGATATTGATTATGTATTTGTAACCATTTGTTTTTGAAGCAAGAAAAATAGGATTCTAGAATAACAGAATAGAAATTAAAAAATGCTAATAGAAATGATAACAAAATGTTACATTACATTTAGCTGAGGATTAATTTTGATAATATTAGTAGTGTAAAGCATCTTTGAAAAATGTTTTAAATCAGGGTATATGTGTGATAATTTAAACTGTTAGATGTTGTGTTGATTGTTAATGTTGTTTTACGTATAAAGCATTGGATTCATTTCTTTAAAGTGACATTATGCTCATATTTTCATAGTCAAGTTGAGCTTTTTATATTTCAAAAGATTGTCTGTCAAAATGGTGTTTGACAAACAGATGATATTGGAAAATGTTAAGGATAAAATTCTAAATCTGCCTAAAATATAAAAAGACTGCCCCACTCTTTTTATAAACTAAGCTTTATAGGTAATTTCTAATGGATTTTTACAGAAATTTCGTTTGGATCTGTGAGTTATTTATTGGTTCTGTGAACTAAATTATAAAATTAAAAGGAATTATGACAAAAATGAAAACTTATTTTGATCTTCACCCTTCACTCACTATATACCCTTGGATCGGCATAATGTCACTTTAAAATCAAAAAGGAGATTTGTAAATCCAATTTTGTAACAAGTCCTCAAAATGATGAACTGTGATTGTAATTTATTAATAGATGATTATATTAGTGATATTATTGTATTTAACTATTTTTATGTTTGTTATTTTTTTGTTGTTACGTACATTTATTTCTTAAACAGTTCTCAAGTTATATAGATATTATTATTTTTTTGTCTTTTATGTACAATGTGTATTAACAAGTAAGATTGAATTTGATTGTGATAATCAACAGTTTGAAAATTTAATGATTTTAGTTATCATTTTAAATGGATCCTTTGCCATTTTTATGTGATTATTTCGGCCCAAGATTACCAACAAATAATGCTACATGTATGTTTTAAACCAGAACCTTTGATTTATCAATTGCTGCCAGTATAAAGCCAGGCCAGCATGTGAACAAGCTTTTTGCTCAATTTTTGATATTAAAATCCCTTAAAATTATAATAGGCTATTCCAAATTCAAAGCAGGGCAAATCCATTTTATAAATTCAGCAGGTAAAGGGTAAAAAATTTAAACTTAAAATTTTCTAAACATTCCATATTATCCCAGGAATTGGTTGATCTCTGTCTTGTTATCTATTTTGATTTATTTTTAGTTGTGCTATTTTTGTATGTTTTGAATGTTTGTAACAGTGATTTTTATTGGATAATTGTGGTGTTGATATACTCCTGGCTGTTGTAAATATATGAAGTACAGTGTATAATTTTTAGTATTTTTTTTCTTGCATTATCTTATAGTTGTGTCAGGTAATATTGCTGTGTGTAACTGGTTGTTTGCAATATAACCTTTTGATTTGGGTTATATTTGCTTACATCCATTTATACCAGGCCATATGAAAAACTTAATTTATGTAAGTATAATATATTTTGCTCAATTCTTATTATACCCCCGCACAACAAAGTTGTAAGGGGGGTATACTGGAATCAGCTTGTCCGTCCGTCCGGCCGTCCGGCCGTCGGTTTTTTCTTGTCCGCCCAATAACTTAAGATTCCTTTGACCCTTAGTCTTCATATTTGGCATGGAGGTTAGTCATGATTAGTAGATGACCCCTATTGATTTTGAGGTCACTAGGTCAAAGGTCAAGGTCACAGGGGCCTTGACTTCAAAAAGCTTGTCCGCCCAATAACTTAAGATTCCTTTGACCCTTAGTCTTCATATTTGGCATGGAGGTTAGTCATGATTAGTAGATGACCCCTATTGATTTTGAGGTTACCAGGTCAAAGGTCAAGGTCACAGGGGCCTTGACTTCAAAAAGCTTGTCCGCCCAATAACTTAAGATTCCTTTGACCTACAGTCGTCATATTTGGCATGGAGGTTAGTCATGATTAGTAGATGACCCCTTTTGATTTTGAGGTCACCAGGTCAAAGGTCAAGGTCACAGGGGCCATGACTTCAAAAAGCTTGTCCGCCCAATAACTTAAGATTCCTTTGACCTACAGTCATCATATTTGGCATGGAGGTTAGTCATGATTAGTGGATGACCCCTATTGATTTTGAGGTCACCAGGTCAAAGGTCAAGGTCACAGGGGCCTTGACTTCAAAGAGCTTGTCCGCCCAATAACTTAAGATTCCTTTGACCTACAGTCGTCATATTTGGCATGGAGGTTAGTCATGATTAGTAGATGACCCCTTTTGATTTTGAGGTCACTGGATCAAAGGTCAAGGTCATAGGGACTTTGACTTCAAAAAGTTTGTCCACCCATTAACTTAAGATTCCTTTGACCCACAGTCTTCATATTTGGTATGAATGTTGATCATGACTATAAGGTGACCCCTATTGATTTTGAGGTCACTGGGTCAAAGGTCAAGGTCACAGGGACCTTGACAAAAGAAAGCTTTTCTTCTCAATTGCTGAAGAATGTCCTGTCCACAATGTATTGATTTTGACATTTTCACATTTGAAGCATATAGAATACATAACTTAGCAATGCACTGGCTTAGTAACCTCAGATTTGGCAGGGAGGTTGTCCTTGAGCTCTAAATGGCCACTGTTGATTCTGACAAAGTGGTATGCGGGGGTATTCACGCCATGACAGTGGCAGTTCTAGTTTATAAAGGTTTTTTAGCTCACCTGAGCTAGCTCAGGATGAGCTTTTAGGATCGTTGAATGTCCGTCGTCCTTCCACATTTGTTCGTTAACACTATACTAGTCACATTTTCACCTCAATCATCATCAAACTTTGTCAGGATGCTTGTCTAGGTAATTGCTCGGATGAGTTTGATGGGTCAGGTGAGCGATCTAGGGCCATCTCGGCCCTCTTGTTTTTCTTCAGTGCTTGATTATTTATTTGATTATCTATTTATAATCTTTAAATTATTTCTGCCATTGTAATAACATTATTTGCATATATTTACTACGCCGAAATTAAATATCATTTTGTATTTTACAATTTTAGATGTGCTTTAAGATAAGTTTCAAGTTTAGTATTTCTCATATTCAGTCCGGCAATCTGCCCTTAGGGACAACATATTTTTACAACATAATAAAATGACGGACAATGAAATATAAATATATTAATGATATTTTATTGGAATTGGATTTACTCAAATATATTCTTACCAGATATGGTCACTTATATATGTGGATCGATAGCATCACGCTTTTTATACGTCCGTTTGAAAAACGGGACGTATTATGGGAACGCCCCTGGCGGTCGGGCGGGCGGGCAGGCGGCGTCCAATTTTGTCCTGAGCATATCTCCTACATGTATGGAGGGATTTTAATGAAACTTCATAGAAATGTTCACCACTATGAGGAGCAGTGTCGCGCACATGAACCAGGTCTCTAGGACAAAGGTCAAGGTCACACTTAGAGCTCATTGAAAAATGCTTGTCCGGAGCAAAACTTCCACATGTATAGAGGGATTTCAATATTACTTGGCACAAATGTTCACCATTGTGAGGCGGAGTGTCGCTTGCAAGATTCAGGTCCTTGCGGCCAAGGTCAAGGTCACACATACAGGTCAAAGTTCAGATAAAAATATGAAGATGTGTATATGGACCATTTAGTCATCATTTATTGAGGGATTGTAACACAAATGGTCATTATCAAGACTATGGCTGTGATACATATAATTTAGGTCAATATATACAAGGTCAAGGTCACTAAAGATGATGAAATATCCAGATTTTGTCCGGAGCATATCTCCTTCACGCATGGAGGGATTTTAATGAAATTTCATAAAAATGTTCACCATTATGAGAAGCCATGTCAGGCACATGAACTAGGTCTCTAGGTCAAAGGTCAAGGTCACACTTAGAGCTCATTGAAAAACGCTTGTCCGGAGCAAAACTTCCACATGCATAGACTGATTTCAATATAACTTGGCACAAATGTTTACCATTGTGAGGCGGAGTGTCGCGCACAAAATTCAGGTCCCTGCAGCCAAGGTCAAGGTCACACATAGAGGTCAAAGTTTAGATAAAAATATGAAGATATGTATAGGGACGATTTAATCATCATTTATTGAGGGATTGTAACACAAATGGTCATTATCATGACTCTGGCTGTGACACATGTAGCTTAGGTCAATATATGCAAGGTCAAGGTCACTAAAGATGGTGAAATATCCAGATTTTGTCTGGAGCATATCTCCTACATGTACGGAAGAATTTTTATAATACTTTATGGAAATGTTCACCACCATGATATGTATTGCTCCATGCATGATCCAGGTCTCCAGGTCAAAGTCACACTTAGAGCTCATTGAAAAACGCTTGTCCGGAGCAAAACTTCTACATTCATAGGGGGATTTCAATATAACTTGGCACAAATGTTCACCATTGTGAGGCTGAGTGTGGCACGCAAAATTCAGATCCCTGCGACCAAAGTCAAGGTTACACATAGAGGTCAAAGTTCAGATAAAAATTTGAAGATGTGTATAGGGACCATTTAGTCATCATTTATTGATGCATTGTAGCACAAATGGTAACTATCATGACTACAGGTGGGACACATTTAATTTAGGTTAATATTTGCAAGGTCAAGGTCACTGGAGATGATTAAATATCCAGATGTTGTCCGGAGCATATTTTCTACATGCATGGAGGAATTTTAATGTTACTTTATAGAATTGTTCTCCACCATGAGACATAGTTCCCTGCACATGAATCAAGTCTCTAGGTCAAAGGTGAAGGTCACAGTTAGAGCTCATAGAAAAACGCTTGTCTGGAGCAAAACTTCTACATGCATAGAGGGATTTCAATATAATTTGGCACAAATGTTCATCATTGATGCTGAGTGCCGTGCATAAAATTCAGGTCCCTGCGACCAAGGTCAAGGTCACACATCCTGTGCATATCTTCCCTACTGATTTGTTTTAAGGTTCATTTAACAACACAGTGCCAAGAATAAAAACTTGCTTGCTAGATAACACTTATCCATAATGCCCCCATCTCCATCTAAAGCTTTCGTAAACGGGCGTATTTTGTGACTATGGCACCCTTGTTAACTTTCATGCAGCTTTCAATATCAGCATTCTATGTCCCTTTTAAGTGGGAATGGGTTAAATCGTTGAATAAGAGGGTAATATTTAATACTTTTTACAAATTGAGAAGCTTTTTTGATTGGATATTACCTCGAGCTTAATTTTTTATGATGTATATAAAATATTTATTTTTATGTTGTTATTTATTTTCTCTTGGTATTTAAATTTATGTCTACATAGTTCTTGAAATTCAAGTAAGTTATACAATAAGGCTGATATAGTAATGTTTAATCTGTCGCATTCCAGAAAAATTATGTGTGATAAAATATCCAGCATTTATATTTTTTTATTGCTTTCCCATTTAATTATATAATTTCATCTACTAAATATGTTACAGGGCTTCCATTAGGTTCCAAAATTTGGAAGTATGTCTATGTTTAACATTGGAAGTCACATTATATAGGTAAAGAAGGAAAAGCATCATATTTTGGAAGTCACAAGTCAAAATAATGGTGTATATGACTGACTGCCAAACTTCTATTTATAGAAGCCCTGGGTTAATGTTTGTTAAGTCAGTATTTATTCCATTAAATCAGTTGAGTGACTGTTTACAGCCAGACAGATTTATTTATAGTAATGCTGACAAACAAACATTAACTTATACATATTTGTAAATTCATTTAAAAACTTACTTTAAAGGATCCGATTTATATTCAAAATTAATCTCAAATTATGTAATATGATTCCATTATATGAATGTTTATTTTTAAGTTTTCATTGCAGATTTTTATGATTTATGAAAGTAATCCTTACATTACTAGTATGGCGTGTTAACCACTAGGCCAGGCTACCACTAAATTATTAGCCTTTATCATTAACCATTATAGTCAGGCTTACACTTTGTAGCTCTATTTTTGAAATTTGAAGTTAAAATCCCATAATTTTTAAATGGACTGTTGGAAAATTAAAAGCTGGGCAGGCTATGGGTTATTGTGTGAAAAGGAATTTACTAGCGTTATAACTTTAATATTCTGTCAGTTTATTAATTTTAATATTAAAGAAACCATGCTTGTTAGTGTATAAAACTATATTGGGCTGTTTGTAAGCAGTAGATTATTGGACTGTATCTTAACAAAATTGAAAGAACAAGATTTTTTAAATACATATATCTGATAGAATGATGGTAATTTGAGAAGCTTGTTACCTATTTGAAATGGCTGTTGAGTATTTTTAAAAGGGAACACCAATTTTACATATATTTAGTGATTTTTTGGACAAACTCTGACAAACTCTTGGTCACATTTGAAAAGAAGAATGTGTATTTGTTTTGAAATTTGTGTAGTATAATCTGTCAGTTTTAGCTCCACATAAATTGAATCTCTAAAATGGCTGTTTATCATTGACACTTAAAATAAGGGATTCCAACATTAAAATAAGGGATTCTAACAATAAAATAAGGGATTTAAACATTAAAATGAGGGGTTTCAACATTAAAATAAGGGGTTTCAACATTAAAATAAGGGGTTTCAATATTAAAATAAGGGATGCCAACATTAAAACAAAAATTTTCAGTTTTCAAAATCCTAAAATTGAGTTATGAACAGTATTCATTCTGGTCAAAATGCTTGGGCATGCAGGCTGGTCTGGCTTTATACTGATGCTTTACATGTTGGCAAGTCTTATTGTGATTAGTTCTTAAAGGGTTTATGTAATACATATCAGATTTATGTGAAGTAACAAATATTGATTATTGACCCTTCCTTAATGTACTGGTTTATATTTACACCATTTAGTCATTTTTTCACTCAAGTTTTTACATTTCTTATGGTAGATATAGAAATCCTAAATATTTATTTTGCTTTTTTTACAAAGATGTATCACGCTAACAAGCTTACATTTATTGAGAAGTCTTACTTTGGGGAAGAAATAATACTGTAATAGTTCTGACAGATAATTTTTTTTATTGCTTTTTAATCTATAATTTTTTTCAAGGGCTTTTTCAATAAATTAGTAAATATTTTGTTTGCTGAATTAATATATGCAGAATTCTTCATCTAACAGATTATTAGAAAAGTTTTATTTTTCTCTAGTATTTTATAAATAATGCTTACCAATACATTACCATGGTTAAATCATGTAACATTTAAAAGCCTATTTATCTGATTACTGTAGGTGTGCAATATATTCAGTGAATAAATTGTCTTGAATTACTTAGGTGTTATTTTTTCTATTTTATCAAATATCCAACTAAAACATGTTTTTACTGAAAAACTGTCTTGCTTTGATTAGACACGACTTTTTCAGAATATAAACATATTAAGTATCATGTGCAAGTTCTGCGTGAAAGTCCAAAAATTAAGTTCCCTTGGTGGTGGTGATTGGAAGTTTTCACTCCAGATCACATTGATTTTACCAGAGCACAGTTCAACCACCGCATCGTTCCTAGGCAGGCTGTCAAGCAGTTTAACAGTACTAGTTGCCTTCACTTTCACAAGGAACTGAAACTTCTGTACATACCAGAACAGATGTATGATGCAAATGACCATAATCCCGGAATTGACCCTGGGTCACCAAATTCACAGTCCAATGCTTTTACCTATTGAGCTTACCAGACAGTTACTCAAGTCCCTTTGTGACCGACGGGTTGCCTTTAAGGGTTGAGGCATCAGAATTGCAGCTGTTTATCCCTGCGTGAGAATAAAAGGTGACTAAATGGGTTCAAATAACTGGAGTCTATGCATTCTTTAATTCTAGTAGGTGGGGTGGATTTGGTTCCTGGTGTTGCTTTAATTTTGTAACACCCGAGGTTAGCAAACAAGAGGCCATGATGGCCCTGAGGTCGCTCACTGTATATAGCCCCCCCCCCCCCCCCCCCCCGGCCAATTTTTACCCAGGGCTTTTATTTTGTTTATTTGAACAGACTTGGTAGACACCAATAAGAAGATGTTTCATGCAAAACATTTAAGTTCTAGCTCATTGGGTTTTTTAAAAGAAGATTTTTTAAGTTTTTACTATACACATATAGTTAAAACAATGAACACCCGACCCTCGGGCAGGGCCAGTTTTTGACCCCTGGGCTTTTATTTGAACAAACTTTGTAGATAATTTACTTAAAAATGTTTTTCATGCTTAATATCTAAACTCTAGTTATTTGGGTTTTTTTCAAAGAAGATTTTTAAGTTTTTTGCTATGTATATAAGGAAAATCAATGACCCCGGGGCGGGGCCAGTTTTGACCCAGGGCTTTTATTTGAACATACTTGGTAAGAACACCCATTAGAACATGTCTCATGCTAAATATCTTAGCTCTAGCCTCTTTGGGTTCTTTAAAAAAGAAGGATTTTAAATAAGTTTTTTACTATATGCAATATGATAAGGAAAATCAATGACCCCCTGGGGCGGGGCCTAAATTTGGACCCCCAGGGCTTTTATTTCGAACAAACTTGGTAGACACTCATTTAGAAGATGTTTCATGCCAAAATATCTAAGCTCTAAGCTCTTAAGTTTCTTTAAAAGAAGATTTTTTAAGTGTTTACTATATGCATATAGGGAAATCAATGACCCCGCCGGGGCGGGGCCAATTTTTGACCCAGGCTTTTTTATTTGAAAAAACTTTGGTAGACATCACTAGATGATGTTCCATGCCAAATATCTTAGCTCTAGCTCTTACAGTTCTTTAAAAGAAGATTTTTTTAAGTTTTTACTATAATGCCATATAGGGAAAATCAAATAAACCCCCCCGGGCGGGGCCAATTTTGACCCAGGGCTTTTTATTCGAAACAAACTTGGTAGACACTCATTAGAAGATGTTTTCATGCCAAATAATCTAAGCTCTAGCTCTTAGGGTTGTTTAAAAGAAGATATTTAAAGATTTTTCTTTCGGTTTGCCATGGGAACCAAAGTTCTGCATGGAATTAAATTCCTTTGAACAATTTTTAAAGGTGACCACCAAAGGAACATTCCTGTGAAGTTTTTGATGAAAATTGGGCTTAGTGGTTTATGAGGAGATTTATTTAAAGCAAAAAGTTTACGGACGGACGGACGGACGACGGACGAAAAGCGATCACAAAAGCTCACCCTGTCATTTTTGGAAAAGGTAGCTAAAAACATTTTCCCGGGTTTTGGCGCAAAAATGACCTTAAAAATTGGGGTTTTGGGGGTGCCGTAAAACCAAACAAAATCAAAACACAAGGATGCAAACTGTGCCATATGTCCAAGCCAGGATATAAGTTCTCCGTTGTCAAAGACCGGTGACCTATGCTTCTTAATGGAATATTTCAAATACTTTAAGTTAAAAAGCACAGATAGATGAAAATAATGAATAAGTCATGTTAAATCAATATTGATAATAACAAACAACAACAACAATTTAATGTTGTACTTTTATTACAAAGGACATCAAATGAAAGCTCTGCCCTGTCCTTTCAAACCCCCCCCCCCCCCCCCCCCCCAATTTCTAAAGCTTAAAGTTTTGAAAAAATATCCTTAAAAACTTGTATCATTCAGCTTTCAAGGTTGTATTTTTCACACTAGAGCAGCTAGTAATAATGTTCTTTTTCATCTTTAAGAAATTGTCTGATAAGTTCTTCATGGTTTCTTCACTTCTTTTGATCTGTTTTTTCCATCAATCTGCTTAAAATCTTCTGTAACTCCCTTGTTTCACCCTCGAGTCACAGTTCTTTGTCTGAAATTATACAAAGAAAGAAGAATTTTAACAGTGGAACAGCAAGTTTTTTGTGACAGCAAAATTTTTTTGTTTGAAAAATGTATATAAGTATTTATAAATGATCGTCTTCATTGGTTGCTCAGAATGTCTTTAAATTCAAAGGTTGCAAGTTCTATTGCACGGCTACTTTCAAACCAAATATTAGCATATTACACATAAGTTACTCATCACGGTGATTCCTTTATATCACAACTAGAATATTTTGAAGATTAATCAAGAATGTAAGCCATTTGAATACGGTAGTTAGGGCAGGGCTTAAAAATATGCTTAACAAGAGCTGTCGGTAGGACAATGCACTCAACTTTTCTTAGTGCTTGATAATTAAACAAGTGTCTGGATAATTTAGAATTTTCTAAGTTCAAAAAGGTCCATAATTCTGTCAAAATCCCGGTTAGAGTTATTGGCCTTATAAAGTGACCTCCTATTATACTCACAAATGAGTGTGTGAAGTTTCAATCCATTCCTTTCAGTAGTTTTTGAAATACCAACTTGCATGCAAAGTCTTAACCAAAGTGTGACACCATTGCCTCTGTGAGTAAAATAGCTCCCCATGTTCTTGCCACAGAATATCAAAAGGTGTGTATTTGCAAGATGATTTTCTGGGCTACTAAATCTAACCAATCAGTTTGTTTACTTACTGTGCTATGGCAGATGTGCTGATGGGTAAGATATCCAGATGAATTTTACCTCCCTCTTGTGTCTTAATGAACGAAAATTCTTCCAAAATGTCAACATCTTATCATGATATTAAGGATAACAACTCATGTACATGTATATAATTTGGTTGGTCCTGATATAACCCCTAATCAAAGAGCAATCTGGATAAACTGTGACAGGAAACATACTGATAATGAAACTTGATTATAGGTCAATATAGGAAACGTGCATTGCACTATAAGGAATTCAACCCATCAGAGCTTGAACTATGACTTTCAAAACTAATGTAATACATCAAAAACTTTGATCATGTCAAAGTCAAAAGTCATTTGAGTGAAGTCTGTAAATTATGTTAGACTTTTATGACATTAGCAATACAGTAAAAACCCACAATTAAGACCACCATCGGGACTGGACCAAAGTGGTCTTAATTGCAGGGTGGTCTTAATTGTGAATATTCTTATCATTTCTTATGCACTTTATGACCATGGTCTTTTTTAGTTTTGTGTGAACAAACAATATGTATCTTAACCTGCAAATGCAAAATTAAAGTATGTTCTAATGTTACATCTGATGGGGAAAAAACATATTTCTGAAGAAACATGCCTGTATTAATGCCTGTAATAACTGCATAACGTTGACAAATGAAGTATACCTTAAAGTATACAATACCATCAAATAATAGCTGTCCTAACACTCAATAGGTAGAGTGTTGGGCTGTGAATCCGGACACCTGGGTTGATTCTGGAAAGCTGCAGGTCACTTTCGTTGTGATTGATCAAGAAATCGTTTCTACAGTCATTCGCACTGTCATGACTGTACCTCTGCTCTGGCATGTACAGAAATTATCAGTTCCTTGCAAAAGTGAAGGCACTATTTAACTACTTGACAACCTGCCCAGGAACAATGCAGTGGCTGAACATTGAGCTCTGGTAAATTCAATGTGGCTTACTGTTGTAATCAGGAGTGAAAACTACCAACACCACCACCATTTGGAATAATTTGATGTAAGGTATTACATCATTACCATCATATGAAGTGAAGTATTCATACATATAAAGGATACTGATGATGTAATTAAAGAAGAGATTAAAGCTAAAGCTGCCTTGTTTCTGAATCTTCTTGATGATTTGTGAGAATAATGTCGCATGATTTGGCCAATCATATTGTAGTAAGACTAGAGTATGTCCTAGTAATGAATCTGAAGATTTTCCACCAAATGCCCTGTCCTAAACAAATGAAAAAAAAAAGACAAAAATTATTGAAACAGGTTTCAACAATAGCATTCCAAACAAATTTCATGTACATAAAAAGGAAAATGTACTGTGTCTTACAAAACTATAAAATAAGCAAAGTTTAAAATATAGAAAGAAAACCCGTTTTTCAGAAAATGTGTAATAATAAAATTTAAACTTATCAATCAAGTCTGTTCTTGCAGTTTAAGTATCGATTAAGGATAACACTCCAGTTTTTTATTTCGTCAGGTAAAACTTACAATTTTATTTTTATTTTAAAAAGGTGACAAAAAAACCTAAAATACCTTGAAGCAAGTCATGAGCATCTGTATACAGTAAGGTAAGATTTCAGCTTCTGTGCAGGGAACCAGAACAAGATGACGCCCGGAACCATACACAAACTGGTTCTCTTGGATAGAATCTGGACTGTCAGTCTGGTGGGTAAATACTGGAAAAGCTGCTACAACGTCAAGTATTAACTCACATGCTCTCTGTAACCAATTAAAGCATTATAACATTAATCAAAAGAAAATAATTGAAATAATTTTCAAACATCGAAAGAAATATTTATGAAATTTTTTTTTTTTATTTCAATGTTTAAATATTTAAATTTTGGTTTCTGTGGCTATTCTTTGGAATCTTGCCTGTTTTATTTGATATTTATTAGTTAACACTTAGTTGAATTGATATGTAGTATTTAGCTCCTATTTTCAAAAGTGTATGTAATTTATACAGTTAGACTTGTGTAAAAAACCATCTCTGTATTCAACTTAAATGAGAAAAACCTGTTTACCATGGACAATATATAATTTGTTTTATTCATCAATAACTATGCAATATTACATACATGTACATTTTTTTGTAATCTCCTCTCTCTTGTATAAAGAGACCATATTTTCAACTAAACTGATGATTAATGCCTAGGAAAATGGTTCAAGCATTATGATAAGATCTGTCAATCAATATATGTACTTTGTGTACTGTAAATATACTGCCTGAATGTGTATTGAACTTGGTGTATAAATAAGCTATCATATAAAATGTTACATAAGTTGACAATGGTGTACAAAAGGTTGAAAACTTACAGAGTAATTGTTCAGACAATAGAAACAACAGGCTAGCTGCAATGAATGTCTTATCTGAAAAATATCAAGTGAAAATATATAAATTCATAATTAATGCCTTTTATTTTTGATTTTTATAATTTGTTTTGTTGATTCTTTTAATCACATCTTCTCTTTATAAATCAACAAAACAAATTTCTAACTTTACTAACGGTGGACAACTGAGGATGAACATTTTGCTCATTATTTTTGGCTCAAGCAGACACCTGATTAGAACCACCAACCCTATATAACTGTTTTTACTTATTTAAATCAAGAAGAATATCAATTTAGTACTAACTTAGAAGCATCTCTTTTCCAACCATTTTCTGAACGATCAGCTGGCAAAGGAATTTTTACACTATTTTGGGTCCCGTAGTTAAAGTAATTGAACCTATTCATTTTCTTTAAAACAAGAGCTGTCTGTAGGACAGCACGCTCGACTATTCTAAGTGCTTGATAGTAAAAGAGCCTTGATAATGTTAAATTTTTTAAGTTCACAAAAGGGCTATTTTTTTTTTATAAATTCATGTTATAGGCCTTAGAGAGAGTCTAATTATACAGAATTGGCTTGACTATTCGGAAGGTAATGTCACAAGGGTTTTTTTATTGAGTATAATAATACTAATTACCTATGAATACATAAATTTGACAGAAAAGGTACAAAAGCTTGTTATTAAGATGTTTTATCAAGTAAATCACTGCTTTATTATTATGAATGCATAAAATTGTCCCAAAAAAGGCACAAACCCTTCAGTAGTTAACTTATTGAGATAACAGCTTACAAGCAAAACTTTACCATGAATTTCTAAGTTGAAAAAGGGGAGAAAAATCAGCCTAAATGCAAGATAGAATTATGGATCTTTGTCAGTGACCTAAAATTATGACCCTAAATGCATATGTGAAGTTTTAAATAAATATCTTTAATAGTTATTGAGATATGTAAAACTTGCATGTAAACATTAACCAAGAGACTAAGTAGAAAAGGGGATATGAATCAGCCTTAATGCAAGATAGAGTTATGGAACTTGGTCAGTGACATACAATTATGACCCTCCAATTATGACCCTAAGTGCATGTGTAAAGTTTCAAGTAAATATCTTTGAAAACCTTTAACCAAAATTTCTAAGTTTCAAAGGGGCAAATAATTATGCAAATATTGCAGACAGAGTTATGCAATTTTGCAAACTGATGTACATTGTTACTATAAATAAGTATTTTAAATTTCAATTGAATATCTCAAGCAATAATTAAGATATTTGACTTTACAAAAAAACTTTAACCAAAATTTCTAAGTTCCAAAGGGGCATAATTCTGTCAATATGGTAGACAGAGTTATCGTACTTGTCAATCTGATGTACATTGTTACTATAAATAAGTATTGTAAGTTTCAATTGAATATCTCAAGCAATAATTGAGATATTTGACTTCACAAAAAACTTTAACCAAAATTTCTAAGTTAAAAAGGGGCATAATTCTGTCAATATTGTAGGCAGAGTTATCCAACTTGTCAATCTGATGTACCTTGTTACTATAAATAAGTATTGTAAGTTTCAATTGAATATCTCAAGCAATAATTGAGATATTTGACTTTACAAAAAACTTTAACCAAAATTTCTAAGTTAAAAAGGGGCATAATTCTGTCAATATTGTAGGCAGAGTTATCCAACTTATCAATCTGATTTACCTTGTTACTATAAATAAGTATTGTAAGTTTCAATTGAATATCTCAAGTAATAATTGAGATATTTGACTTTACAAAAAACTTTAACCAACGCCGACGCGGACGCTGACGCCGACGCCGGGGCGACTACAATAGCTCTCATATTCTTCGAATAGTCGAGCTAAAAATCATTTGTTTATGATTCTTATTGTTTATATCTAAAACTTCAAAATCTTCTTTGATTTTGTTCATAACCAATGTATTTCACATCTTATTCATTGAACTGTTAAACAGAAATGGTACGCAAACCTGTCCATGATTTTTCTTATGAAAAAAGATGTATCATACCTGTAATTTAGTTTTGGAACCAATGGCATAGTTTTGTAGATGTCTTACTGCATCTTGAAAAGCTCCCTAGGGTAAAAAATAATGTACATCTAGCATTATAACATTATTCTAGCATTATATATGAAACAAGGGACATAAATCAATGTAAAAAGGGCACAACTTGATACATACAAGACTGAAAAGGCTAAACACTTTAAAAACATGGGATGCAAATCTTGAAAAAAAAAACAAGGAACGCAAATCATGAAAAAACAAGGGACACAATTTCATACAAAGGACACATATTGAAATAAACAAGGAACAAAAGAAGAATGCAACCTTTTATAATGCTATTTTTTTTATCAAAATCAGTACAGACATACCTGATAAAGAAACATGTCAGTTTGAAAATGTCCCATCCAACTCCATGTCTCCATTCTCCAGTTATTGCACAATATTACAAACTCTGAAAAATATACACACATGGCATTTACATCTTAGCAGAATCAAAAGTGCAAAACTTGTCTTACAATTATGTTAATAAATGAGCCGCGTTACGACAAAACCAACATAATGGGTTTGCGACCAGCATGGATCCAGACCAGCCTGCGCATCCGCGCAGTCTGATCAGGATCCATGCTGTTCGCTATCAGTTTCTCTACTTGTTATAGGGTTTGTAAGCGAACAGCATGGATCCTGATCAGACGTGGATGCGCAGGCTGGTCTGGATCCATGCTGGTCGCAAACCCATTATGTTGGTTTTGTCATGGCGCAGCCCAAATTTGTTTAAAACTGCAATGTGTGCATAGTGCAAACCAAAATATGTTTATATCTATTTTTCCAAGGTAAAAATATTGACTAAAAGACCCAAATGATTACAAACCAGGCTCTCAAACAAACTTTGTATAAATCGTCAAACCAGTATAAGCATTTAACCTGCTGTTAATGAAAGTGATCAGTGTTTGCCAACAGTATACAGCCTGTCAGCATATCCATGCAGTCTGACCAGGCTCAATACTGTTGTCTTACCAAATTTTATTCTTGATATCCCTTAAATTGATAATGGACAGTTCCATTTATGAAAGCCAGACAAGTCTATTTAAGAAATTTAGCAGGTTAAGATTTAAATACAGCTGCAACTAACCTCTCTGTAATTCTGTTGAGGAATTCAGTAACTCGTAACATTTGAAAGCTGTGAGGAAATTTTGTATGACAGTTTGAGATGTGGATATTGACTTTGTGGCATGTACCTGAGGTAACAATGACTCTGCCTTGGATCTCTTTGCAGCTGGTCTGAAATAGTCATATCAAGTTTCTAAAGTCCATACCATAATGTATCATTCTTACAATGAAATGATTTTAAGTTTTCTATGTCTCTGGGAAGCACTTATAATATGTAATCTTACAACATGACAAATAATGATAAAATATTGACAAAAATTGTTGTTGTTTTTTTGGAAATTTATTTAAGATTAAAATACTTACACAAAATGTATCAAATGGTAGAACATTCTCTTTTTGAAGTTAAAAATTTTTCATTTTACCTTGACAAAATATATATGTAAAATAATTAAGTCAAAGAGATTTTTTTCTGCTTTTCTGTGATGTTTAAACAGATGTTAACTTTATTTTAAAGCATCAAACAAGTAGAAATACTTAAAATCATTCAATGACTGATAAATTATACACTATAATGATAACTTACTGAGCACCATTGTTGGCTTGTTCTGCCTTAAATCCTTCTATAATTACCAGGGGAACACTGTTACTACCTCCTGTAAATATAGTTCATAAACAAAACAAGTAATGAAAAGCTTTGAACAATATAATAGGCTTCCTTAAATACTGCCAAAAATACAGTCAAACCTATGTTACAGACCAACTTTTGAGCAAAGGCCATATATAGAAAAAATGTCACTAAATACCACCATTTTACTTCCCTATTTGATCAATTACAGTAAAACTTTGTTTACATGAACATGCTTCAACAAAAATAACCTTTATTATTTCTAGACAGGTCTTTTCTTAAAGGATTGACTATATTCATGAATATCAACTATGATTTTCTGGTGTTTGTACCAGTCCTTGAAAATTGTATATACTTATGTAAAATAAAACTATGTCAAGGATAAATTTTCTCATAAATCACATTATTTGGAGAAAATTTACATTACTGTCTGCAATAAAATTTTAGACAAGGAAATGTACAGAGCTTGCTGGTACTTGTGAGAAGATTTTATTGAATAAATATATATTCACCAATATAGAGCCAGGCCAATTTAAATGTCCATGCAGTCTTACAAGGCTCTTTACTGAAGCATTAGCTCAATTTTTGAAATACAAGTTTATACTAATTTATTTAAGTTTGATTGTGTTGGAAGCTTTAAGCTTATTGAAAAACTCTCAAATCCGTTCCTGGAACTAACTAGTGCTAATAAACTTCCTTGCTAAAAAAAACAATGGCTTGCCCTTGATGGGGTTAAAACTTATGGTCCCATGCAACCAATAATCCTTAGATACTAGTCCCATGTGTTGACCACTCGGCCAATCCGCCAATAGGATATTTAAATCAATTAAACATTGAATTGACAATTTCAAATAAAACTTACCAGAATGGAAGATGTCTGTATCCACACTACAAATATAGTGATATAAACATTCCAGGAATAACACAGTAGTTGTATACAATATCTGTTTGTTCCTCGACTCCGAGCCCGCCTGGTTAGATCTGTTATACAAGCTTAATATATGCTGCCACTGAAACTCTCTGTAAAAAGTTATCGAATGTGATCATTTACATGTACTTGGAAATGCAAAACACAACTGTTTGCTATATATCATATAAATATTGAATGCTCATTTTAAAATATTTACAAAAAATAACATTTCATGAAAGTTTACTTTAATCATAAAGCATCTATGCCATCAACTTGAACTTTGAATGAACTGCTTCAAATTCAAAGCAGGGAAAATCTGTTACACAAATTCAGCAGAATAAGGGTTCAAAAGCATTAAATATAGACCTGGTTGAATTCTCAGTCCACAGGCCTGTCATTATCAACACAAAACAAGAATAAAGAGAGAAAGATTGAGAGTTCAAAAAAGCTAAATCAGCTTAGATTTGTAACTTAAATATAAATAGATTTTCAATTTATTTTAGACCTAATAACGTTTTTTTTTTTTTTTTTTTTTTTTAAAAACAACACTTTTTGTTTATTACACTTTTTGTTTATTGGAGTGAGGGAAATAGTCACATTTAAATTGTATATATAATGTCAGATTTTCAACAAGTGCAGAGACAAAGAAATGCAAGTTTAACATCTGACATGATATTCTATACATTTGCAGACATTATAATCTAGAACCTTGTCTAACCTTGATTTGGTAAAGAAATCTTTGTCAATTTCCCAGCCAACATTTTGTCCTATGAAGATGAGGAGTTTATAAAGATGAGCCCAGGGGTCACTTATCAAACATTCCTTGTCATGAAGGCCTGGGATATTTGCTCGTCTACATTTCTTTGTTGGTGACATCAGATCTATAATATATCATCTCTTATTTACATATTTCAAGTGCTTTTTTTAACATATATAATAATTGATAATATAAACTTGGTTATTTGTGATAGCCCATTGAATTCTTTCTCCACCGAAAATACAATGTTTGTCTGTCACATACTTTGGGTTCATTACATACATCATACCTTTTAAATTCTTAGTACAAAATGATAAAAGTTGATGGCTTGACATGTAAAAAATTGACAAAGAGTTATAAAAATATTTAATGAAGCAATCTTTATTTCACTTACAGTCAGGGCTTCTTTTCACAGGTTGGGGAAGCAGCCCAGCCCTTAATTTTGGGGAAAAATTACACTGTATATTTGCAAAAGGGGAAGAAAATACTTAATGCAAGTTCAATTTTTGGGGAAAACTGCATGATTTTTTAGGGAAGCAGCCCTATACCGGTCCTTGTTATAGAAGGGAAAAAAGCCCTGACAGTATATAATATACTTTAACAAAGGCACATTAAAACTGTCAATAGCAAGCATCTACGAACAAACAAGACATGTTTGTTAATATAAATATACATACCAGGTGATAATGGAGTTGTAGGTTCATGAGATGAAGGTGGGGGTTGTGTGACAAAGCTGATGTAGAACTCTACACATTTTTGTAACCATACATATAAATCATTGGCCAACACTTTCACCTGACTACCTTTCTTTAGTACCAATGGTAACACGTCACATACTGTAAACAACAAACATATATAAATCATAGCGGGCATTTATTGTTTTTATTTCATGTATACTTGGATACATTTCATTATGTCATTTCTTTCAACCTTCGTTCTAAATTTCATCAACTTCTTAATATTTTTTTCTGGATCTTTTTTTTTATGACTGACTCAAAAGCTAACTATGCTTGAATCTATATTTTCTCAAATAGCAAAATCATTGGTTAGATGGAACTCAACCAACAGTAATACTTAAATAAACCTGCAATTTTTTAGAACTAATCACTGCTACCTTTACAATTTTCCTGAACAATTATCTACTATATGGTACTTCCATTTTATAGTACTTTTCAACCACTAGACAAGATAAATATTCTAGTTTGTCTATGAACTCACCCAGTAGTTTTCTGTAGCAGTTAACAGGTGACTGGAACTGAGCGTGAGTCTCTGCTGATAATAATGTGTCTACTAACTTCCTCTGAAAATAAAAATGATCTGGCTTCAACAAGACTTATCTGATGCATCACACAGGCTAATGAAGCAAAATATATTTATAAAATATTTTCAATGTTGACACCAGTTTATAGAATTACATGAGAAGTTGATTTCACTCCATATGGATCAGGGTTATAACAAGAACACTACATTATATCTTATGCAAAAACTTTGTTACAGAATTTGGAATGATTAATACTTTTGACATCTGAGGTCAAGAAAGCTTGTTACTAGATCTGGCATACTATTTTTTTAGGTGGAGTGGGGGATGGTTTACATCACACCAACACAGTATAGGTTATATGGCCACTTCCAAGCTTTACTGGTGGAGGAAGACCTCAGGTGCCCTTCCATGCATTAATTCAGGCACAAACAGGCACCTGAGTAGAACCACCGACATTCTGTAAGCTAGCTGGATAGATTCCTCAAAATAAAGAATACAAAAATCCCTGTCAGGATTGAACCCACAGCAGTTAGGGGCCAGTGGTTTGAAGTCAACCACCTTAACCACACCACCACGGAAGCCACTCATCACTATTATAATCAATGATAAGAAACATGACTAATTGAGAAAGAACCAGAAAAAAACATTACATATCTTTTGAGAAACAAGGTAATTTTTTCCCAATTTATTTCAGTACTATCTTCAAGCACATGAAGTCAAAATATAGATTAGTAGTCAATGTGGCTAATGAAGTAAATCTGAAATTCAAATAACTTTACCCCATGCTCTTTGACCAAGTTTGGAAATTTCTTCAATGCCAACAGTAGCAGACGGCACTGTTCTAATTTGTCTGAAATCTTCTCTGACACACTCAGTAACATCTGACATTGTACCTGCGTGGGTATAGCTGTCAGAATCTCTACAATAACAAAATATGAACATTGTAAGTGCATATAAAAATCCTGTCATATAATGACAAAATCTATAGAACAGATTACCTTCAAAACCAGTATTTAAAGCAAGCACACACACCTATTTAAGCGAATAAAAAAGAGCATTGTTATTGCATGATTTAGTTGGGTTGCTATGGGTTTTTTATTGCAACAAATATATAATAACTAGGGCCATCTGGACATTTTAAAGACCTCAGGTGCCTTTACATGCATTTTTTCAGGCACAAACAACTGGTACCCCAATAGAACCACAAACATTCTGTAAGCTGATAGCTGGATAACTTTCTCATATGAAAAATCTTAAGACACTGGGATGACTCAAACCTAGAGCGGTGAGAGGCAAGTGGTTTGAAGTCAATGACCTTAACTATTCAGCCGGGGACACACCTACATAGACACTCAAATAGTCTCAGTCTAACAGTCTCAAATAAAACAAGAGTAAGTTTCCAGAGCTTCTGCATAACAAATGATTATTTTCACACGCAGTTAGGACCAGTACAGACCTGTTAGAAAGGCTGTTGTTTGATCGGCAGTCTCATTCTGTAGAGCATCTAGTATACTGTGAACTTCGGACCATAGTCGCCTCTCTTCGGGAAATAACAAATATCTGAAAATGAAAGTAGCAAAATTGTAATGAAAATAAATGTGTTTTTCTCACTTTAAAATTTAATTAATCAGTAAAGGATTTAATGCACATTTTTTTTCATATCAGGGTTACAACAACTAGAAACAAACATCTAGCATTGATTTGTATACCTATCTTTCAGCTATGTCTTTAAGTCCATCAACCTTATCATTTTAACCTTTAAAGCAGCACGCCTTCAGATTCACCCTAATTTTCATGAAAATTTCGAAAATGTATTTGAATGTATAATATTGTGAAATAACTAGAAGGAAGCAATTAACATTATCAATGACACTTACAACCCACGTAAATAACCAAAATGCATAAATAGCGCTTACTGTAAATACTGAAAAATCAGTCATTAACCGCACATAATATGTAAAATATTACTTGAAACTTGAATCATTTTACTTTTCCTAAAATCGTAGTACATATTTCTAAATTTTAAATTTATCTGGAGGCATGCAGCATTAACCTGTTTAACTTCTTAAATCAAAAAACTTGTCCAGTTTCCACCATTTTTGAAATTGTCCATTTAGGGACATCAAGATAAAAAATATGAATTCTGTCAGCCAACAGTATAGAACCATGTCAAACTGCACTGATGTGCAGGCAGGCCTGGATCTATACTAATAGCAAAGGCAAATTACTTCTGGACCAGCAGTGTAAATGTCAATATATATTGACAACTTACAAACTTTCTAAGAGCTTCGCAGCTTCTTTGGAATTCTTAGCTTGCTTTTCTAGGTTATATGCTTCAAACTGAAATAAAAAATGCATCATTTATGCATTTTTAAACTCTAAAAATGCTTAATTTGTATAAAAGTCTTAAACAGCATCAAATATAGAGCAGTTCATACTTCATAATCTGACTTCAATATTGAAAACTATTAAAACTAAATGGCTAAAGATAAAATCTTGTCATACAGAAAGAATGTGTATGTTTGCCTAGCTTCAAACTAATGACAAATTTTGTTTTCACTCTTTCTACTACATTGGAAAGTTTAAGAAAAGATGATATCTGAAGATTGATATTCTTTCAAAAGATTTTACTTTAATTATAATTTTTAATTCAATGAGTTTCTTTAATTTCAAGTTTTACCATCAAGCAAAAAATGAAAGTGAGATTATAGTCAAATTCTCCTTCAAAAACCTCCTTTTTTTTAAGTGATTCTCCCAACTGGAAGTCTCTTGTAATAGGTATTTTTGTGTTGTTGTTCTTTTCTTTCCAATCCAATATGGTTTTTTAAATCATAGATGTTGTTTATTACAGGTTTTTCTGTATTCCTGACTTTATTCATGTGATATATTATAAGCAGAAGGTGACTTGGTAAAGCTGGTTACCAATATTTACCTGTATATTAAAGCTATTTGGGAAGAGCGTTCTTGCTGTTAGCATCCATGATTTAGCAGCATAAGGATCAGCCTTAAAACAGGCTCGAGCTCTCGACACTAACCATTCCTCATCAGATAGTTCTCCTCCTGTCACAGCTGCCATTACTGTAATTAACAAGCAGAATTAGCAGATAATAAACAGTGGAGTTCTTTAAAAAAATTTATTAGTCAGCAACTGTAAGTTTATTTCCTAGTGTATGAAAGCAATGACTCTTCTTTTAGGAATAATTCAGTGTAAACAGCAGAATTTTCAATATACAGTCAAACATGTGAAAAAAGGCCACCTAAGGGATAGACAAAATGTGGCCCTTATAGACAAGTGGTCCTTATTTAGAGGTTATGTTATTCCAGTTTATCAAAGAAAGAGTTATCAAAAAGTGGCCTTTTATTACTGGGTTATCTTTATTTAGAGGTGGTCTTTAACACAGCTTTGACTGTATATTTGTTTTGATTCTTGATATCAAAATATTCCACCTTGTTGGACATTCTACTGAAATGGCCATTTCTCTTTACATGTTAATTAAAATAAAGTGTCATTCTTTTATTATTGTCAAATGAATCTATTGTTTGTTTATTATTAAGTGGTCCCTAAATCTAGAGTGGGTGGACCAACTGGCGTAAAAATACTATATATTGATTTGACAAATTCAAATCAACATCAACAAACCTCAATGTTATATGTCCATTTTCAAGACCGATGATATTGTTTTAAATAGCCATAGCCCATTATGTAAAATTCGCTAATCACATAAAGATGTGCATGGCTGGAGCTATAGATAGTCCGGATAAACAAGTCAGAGTGGTTTGGGTGAAATTGTACCATAGCTCGGCGTACAATACTACATGATGGATTGTTTTTCGAATAAAATCTCTTTTTTATCTTATGAAGAAAACATATTGAATAAATTGTAACAACCAAATTAGGTTCATACATTTACAAGTACCCAACTTTTAGTTTAAATTTTACAGCCCCAGAACTCTACTGGCATGCGAGCAGTTCCCGTACAGAAGCAGTACCCGTATTTTTCATTTAAACGCTTGATTTTTACATGCATTCTTCAAAAATTCATTTTAAATCAAGCAGATACATAAACGAGACAAAATCTAAGTGTCAGTTCGGCAGTACGTATAAAAAGTCTCATTTTAAATCACTTTCACCTGTGCGTTGTCAAAACGTGACCTTGTTTTATCTGGGGGAATTCCGTCCTTGCGCGCATGCGCAAACATACTTACACGTGAGGCATGTTAAAGGGTTTTCCACTAATACCACCTGTTTACAGATAAGAAGGCAATGTGATGAAAACTTGTTTAATTATCAGAATTTTGACCAATATTACTATATAAAATAATTTTATGGCTTTGATGCGTAAAATATCATGCATACAAGCATGCCATCGCATGTGAATGCGTTGGGGGTAACGGTACCGGGTAATAGATACACGCGTTTAGTTTACTTTCTATTTTCTGAATTACATCTATTTATCTCTTAGAAAATGGTCTGTTCAACAATTATAAATGAAAAATAGGTCCGATATAATAAAATTGTATAATTATAATGGGTTAAATTTTATGTACGGGAACTACTTCTCTTCATACAAAATAATGGATAATTTCGGTACCCCATATGAGGCCTCATAACTAAGGGTTATTTCTATGTTTAGAACATGATGGAATTTCCATGATTTGTGTGACGAGCCGAATATTGATGTGTAACATTCAAATTTTGGTGAGTGAGCGTAATAAAAAATAATGATTAAGTAACTACGATTTTTGTACGGAAACTGCTCGCATGCCAGTACTGGTCGGAGACCATCAACCGGACACTTTTGGAACATTTTTCCGTACAGATTTCATAATTTTTAACCTAGAGACCAAAAAATTTGACACAGTTCAGCTAGGTTCTTCTCCTAACTAATAAACTAGTTTCTTTATTTCTGATTGTATTGACACTTATATCTGAGGCTTGACAAGGAGGGTATCAAAATTACCTAAATTGTCTACACTACAGTACCATGTGTCCGGACAGATATGTACATGATGTGATTTAATTCAGATAAAAGCCTGGGTGTTTTGATTTTTGATTTGTAACATGATATATAATATGTCAGCAACAAATGCTAGAGTTTTGGATATTCTATTATTCACTCTGCAAATGATTATAGCTGGTATATGAGGTCAGGCATTGCCTTCTTGACCCCTGAATTTCAACGTTAACATTCTTGAAATAGACATTAAAATATTACCATTTACGGAGGTTGAAATAAATTCATTTACTTAATTTTAAAAGAAACATGCACTTATTGTTGATAAAAAAGTGACTGACAACCACTGAACAAAGAAAATACAAAATTAAGCATTTTCCGGGCCGTCCGGGTTTGGTGGTTGTCCGGTTTTGGTGGTCCCCAACCAGTAGTGTTAAAAGATTTTAATAATTTATATGTTGCGGATTACATACGGTTGTTCGTCTGCTATTAGCTTTGTCACGTGACTACCAGCAGTGAACCACACCAGGGTAAAATGGTGAAAGATGTAAATAAAAGCACCAGTGAGTTAAATCGGAGATAACTCGAGAACTTTTCAGATATTCTAAAAAAAAATATTTTTCATGCCAAGCATTGGTATGCATCAAGCATTGTTCCAACAACTCTAATTTAGTTGTAATGTATTGACACTGCTAGACAACGTCAAAATAAAAGCGACATATAAAGTTATGGAAGCCAGAACTAAGTACCGGTAGGGTTAGGTTAGGGGTTAGTGTTTTTGGTAAGGATTAGAGAGTTATGGAATAGGGTTAGGATTTTAAATGTTAAAAGCAGAGATTTTGCTGCTGACAGATTCTTAAAGTTCACCATAAGAAATGAGGTTGGGAAGAGGGAAGTTGCTTATAACTATAATGTCCAATGTTGAAAGTAACAAAGGGACACAACTATGTTTTATAAATGCTATTTAAAGTTCCTTTTATAACTCGATATCAACTCCTCCCATCCGAATTCCACTACAGTAATAGAGGGGACTGATCTAATGTAACTGAGCATCAAACCACTCGATTTTCTATTTTGAAAGAGAATTAGGAACGATTATACTTTTTTTCAATTTATTACCTTAAACGGACATCCTACTTTAAGAAAAAGAGAGATCTATATAAAAAAAATTACCGTCTCGGTCTGTGTTTGTCTGACTAAAATATGCAACGGATATATTTTGGAGCAACACTAAAAAATGAAAGACTGTATAACTTTTTATGAACTTTTTAAGCAAATCTTGCGTTTGTCTATTTAAATCAGAGTTTTTTAAAAATGTTTTTTTGTTCTTATATAATATTTTGTAAAATAAAACTACATTATCTTTGTATTTTTTTATCTATGAAAGTCAATGTAGGTACAGTACTGTACAGTAGATTTATATTTATTTGTACTGACCTAGTAGCACTGATCGAGTTGTCGCGGGTCAGCTCAACCAGGTAGGCAGTATCATGGAAATTTGGGGTTGAAGTGAATGATAACGCAACAAAAGATACGATCCTGTATTTACATAAACATGCAAAATATATATGGTACATATACAAAAGTCATTATTTAATTAAATACACAATATTACAATTACTAACATACATGATTCATTAGAGTATATATTATTAAATACAAAATACATTTATACCTGTAATTATATAAATAAATAAATATAGAAATGGTAAATATTATATAGCACAAAAATGGCTTTGTTATTGTTTTAACTTTTTGAATAATGGCGGAGAAAGGCGGAAGGAGTTACGATTGGTTCTTGACCCGTGCAAAAGTAAATCGAATTCAACGAAAAGGAGTTTTTAATAATGACACCCTGTAAGAGTACCATGTAAAACTGATATAATTTGCTCTGTGTTTGTATGTGTGTATATTTAGAAATGATATAATCTAGGATAGTTTATTGGAAGTTTAGGTTAAGTATAGGCCAGTGCAATGTAATAAACAAATATATATACCCTATGACACAGTCATTTTCCAAAAAGAAATGTTTAAGGAACATGGAGCTACAAAACTCTTTCTTTATCAGAACAGTGTTAGACTGGAATAAATTAAGTGACTCTCAGGTGTGTTCATCAACAGTTCAACAATTCAAGAACTCCACCGTCGTGTTATTTAAAGCCAGATTTTGGTTACTATGTACGACGTACCTTCACAGATACAGATACAGATGGAGTTTAACTCCTTAAAGTATACCGTTTTAAATGTTACTAGGCAAAGATTTCCAGTTTAAAGACCCAATATGTCCCAGAAATGCTTTCATTTTTATTTCCCAAATGCCTTTTATTTTTCATATACTTTTATAGTTTCCAAAATGTTTCTCATAATTGGCCAATTGCCTGAAACATCTTTTCTTCTTTTGCAATTTGGTTATTAATGCAATTATATTGATTTAGTATTTTGTATGGAAGTTAAAATACTCCTTTGTTTACAATTTGATACCCTGTAAAATTGTTTATAGTATTCAAGTTTAGGGTACATTTTTAGTCTCCATTCTCAAAGTTTGAATAATCTTGGTGTCACTATTTCCACAGATCAAAGCTTAAATAAGCATAAAACTAGTCAACTAGTGAACATGTACATGCTAGCTGTGTCTGGAACATGGGACTAAACGTGTGTCTTTCTGTTCCAGCTGGAACCCTCGCAAAATAGACACAAAATTGAAATGGCTCAGCGTCGGACAACACGATGAGCAAATCAGGACTACTGTCCATATACTGAAAGTTTGTACGGGCTGGTTGCTCTATACCGTTACCCCACCCACCCCTTAATATATTGAATCCCTAATAAATAGACAAACAATTTAGACATATATACATCCTCATTCATAATCCCAAATATGCACCCATTGTAATTATTATAAATATTCGATTTTCCAACTATTGTCACACTTTGAATCTCCCTCACACGTGAACTTGTGCAAGCCCAAACTTTAGAAAATCTTAAGAAGGGTGTGACAAAACTTGGACACAAAGCTTAACACGACATATCTGTCTATATGAATAATATATCTTATAAAGGGTTGCCACGGGGTGAAAACCTGCAAAAAGGTAAGATGTTTCACATATATTCATGTATATAACAATAATAATTTGTTATTTACAATGTAGCATTTGGTTTACTTAGAATCAGGAACTACAAATATCGAAAATCATTGAAAGTAATTAAATGCTGTTAAACAATAGCACAATTGCAAATAAAAGATTGAATGGAGCTTTAGGGGGTTTGCCCTTTTCGCAAGCACAAATCATTGCTTCTAATTATGTTTTAAACATATCACGAAATAAAAATGTGCATGTGATTTATGACTATCAACTATCTTTGCAATCATTTAATTTATGTTTTGCATAGTTCACTTTCTTTTATCTTTGTACTATACCCTAAAGACAATTTACTATTAAAAATCTGTCTATAGTCACTTGATAGCTATAGTCAATCATAAAAATTCATTGGGGTCAGTTTGCAAGCAAACCCTCTCTTTGCGCCAAATAATCTCCGTTGCTGATTTTAGCCATACGGCGCCGTGCTGTTTCTTTTTTCCCTTCTATCAGAAGAGTTCTTTATTGCGGGAAAGTGCACGAAATGTCTGACAGAAAACTCCGAAGAAAATCAGTGAATGTGACATTTGCTGGGGATGATGAGGTTTTACAGCATATTGTAGACGCACACAATCAAAAAGGTCACATGTGTTTTTAGACTGTCAATCATGAATACTGTCGTTTTTGGATATCGGTCGAATTCGAGTTTACTCGTCCCTTATATTAGTCAACTCACTCTAGTCCAGTCAGTCTGTAAATCGACCTCAAACAAATTGCAACAGAAATTTTTTTACCTGGTATAGAAAGTATATGGAATAACATGAATCATATCAAAAGTCTAGCAAAATCTAAGTTGCGCAACATAGAAAAAAAACGGGTTTTTATCGCGTTACTTTTTGTGATTTTTTTCTGACGACAACGGTCTTCCATAGGCGAACAAAGCGTCTCCGATACTCAGAATAACGACTGCATAATGGCGACAACAACAACAAAATAAGTGTAAACAAAATAAATGTCAGTAAAGTACACTGTAAAGTGGGTTGGTATATTTTCCTTAAAATATTACAGATCATAATAGGAATTATTAATGTGGGGTCGTAAGTTTATTATGAGTATTTGTTGAAAATTATTACTTGTTTTACCAGTTCTTTATCCGTTGAAGGTCAACAGGTGTTTCAAGCGATTTGTATTATACTTTTCATGGAAAACAGTGTAATTTATATAAATTACAACTCTGATTAACTCCTGTCTTAGTAAACATTCAAAAACGACCTAAAAATGTGTATTTATAACAAGTTAATTTCGACAGTATTTTTAAACTATGGAACGCCATTATCACTTTAATTATGACGAATTACGTTAAATAAATTCTGAATACTTTTAATCATGTTTTATTGTTAAATGTGTATTCAAGATTGTTTTTTTTTTGTATTTTTTAATAGTTTTTAAAAATTGTTTTACATATATAATGTATGTAATGTTATTATTATTTCAGGGGTACCGCTTTGAGGTAGTCTTCATTGATGTATGCTTGATTTTGAAAATAAAAAAAATCCAGTAAACTATATGTACACTAAATGAGTAAGTTTGCTTTCCTGTGCTTGCATTTGTAATATTTTTACATATATAATAACACAAATATCAAACATTATCTTTTACTAGTTTAAGTGAATATCATACATGGAGGAAATAGAGCGTCGTATGCATAATTCAATATATCTGAAATTATTTTCAGTTTTTAATAGACATAGAAGAAATTTATACATTAAAAGGTGACATGAAAAATTTATCAATAAACAAACGTGATTTCTAGTTATGGTTCATGATTGGCGATGTGTATGAGTTCAAGGTAAACATGCACAGTTGATCCATAATTTAAAAGAAAATCTTTTATGCATACAATAGCACCTGCGCGAATTTGAAAAAGTGCATTACGTGTATAAGATTAATTCACAGCAATATATTAGTATTTCTTTCGGAATGCACACCTAAGTTGACTATAGTATAATTTTATCACTTTTAAAATCAAAATTTAAGCAAATACATGTAACAATAAAAACATCTGTGTATTCTATAGAACCTTATTTCACGTAAATATGAAAATCAGATTCTAATCCTTTCAAACTTGAAGTAATTTCTATGTTACAGATTTCATCAACACACCAGAGCCAATGGGTATGCCCGATCATGTGTTCTGAGGACACTGTGATGTATACGAGTTAAAGGTAAAGATGCATAGTTGAGACATTTGTTTCACAAAATCACTTTAATGATATTTTTCAAATAAGCAAACTTTTAAAATGTGTCATAAGTTCCATATAGTAACATATCAGTACAAATATTTTTGAATGCATGCACGATGGGCATTAGAAATGCTTAAAATTGAAAGGTGACATTTTTAATCTCAATATGTGACTTTATCTTTACGTTACTTCCAAACACTTTTACCAGTAGGTATTTTATATTTATAATTTTAGATTAAAACCTTAGAAAATAATAATAATATCTGTCATATGTTGCGGTACGGATCGGAATATCCGTCCCGAGGTGACCCGCCCATTGGGCATTAACGAGGCTTGCCGAGTTACGGCACATGGGCGGGTTACCGAGGGACGGATATTCCGATCCGAACAGCAAACATATGTCAGATATTTTTTCTTGCATATTTTACGATATAACATTATATTTTGAATTCTTTATCTTAATTTTCAATGGGAATTTATGCCATTACAACCGAAACTATTTTCGTACAACAGCGTATGAAATTACAACTTCATTCATAACAGTAAAAATTACAAGCGTGACATTGTACAGCACGCGACTCTTCTGGCCTATGCCAGATGAAATTTCCGGCATGGGTAATACTAACGGAAACGCCAGTCTGATATGCAAGAAAAGTGTGTCATATCAGCAACTTTGATCAAATAAATACACTTAAAACAGTTTAAGGAAAGCCTTTTCGGAAAAATACATCTTATAATAACACGTACTGTTCTGGGATAACTGAAACAATACGTAATCAGCTACCAATAACCAGAATACAAGAATGCAAGGGATGATCCAGAAATACCCGTAATTTAAACAATAAATTCAATAATATTTATTCAAAGTTCATATAACAAACACTTTATTACTGCGTAATATATCATATCCTCTTTACAAGGAAACAAGAATATGATAATTAAACACAGTATGCCTACCATATAAGCAAACATAGGATTTGTCACATTATGCAAAAAAGGTTGATGTTCTATTGTTCTTATACATAGGGAATCCTCCCGATGCCATTCACTGTAAGTGTACTAACAACCTAAACCTATGACTATTGAACTGCTAATTGTTTTGATTGCTTTGATTCATACACATGATCATCTTAAAGTTGAAGGCATAAAATATATGATTCATTTAATTTAATTAGATAAAAGTGCATGTAAAAGAAAACAAATAAAGTATGAAAAACAGCACATAATCGTCACTTATAATTAATTTTTTAAAATCGCATTGAAAATGTGCAAGGCCGCATATGACAGCATATTTGTATTTTTCAATCGCCACAGCGACAGAGAACGTTAACTTCATGCGTATTCTTCTATGCCGCAAACGATATGTATTTATCTTTAAAATTACTCCAACAGTCTGGTAAAAAAACTTCTTTACCCCTCAAAAAGTTTGTATGCATGACTAACAAAATACTTGTGTCGAATTTCTTTTATCATATTAGATGTTTCTATGGTAGGCTGTCTAAACAGTTGACAAATGTATATGAAAGTGCCGTTTTCCGACGCCTTAATGAAGACGTTTTTGCATAAATAAACGTTGCAATTACAAATGATTACACAATAATACAATGTTCAAACGACGTGAAATTTTAGCAGGCTTTACGTTAACCTTCGGCAATATTGGACATGATCCCTTTTTTGTGTTGGGCACTTTGGTGTATTATAAATTTCAACGACGTCGTGTTCTTTTGAGTTGCGCTGCTGTGGCGTATCAAGGGTTATTTAAGGCGGCCTGAGACGGTACTGGATGTTTATAATCAATTATATTTGGCAATTAAATAGAAAGAAACATCGATCTTTGCGCATTTTTATAAATTAAATGAAGAAAACATAAAAAGTTATCAGAATTATAAACAAATTTTGGGTAATTCTGGATCAACCTCCATATAATGTGAAAAACAGATTTTATAAATCTTACAATATCAGTTATTGTTTTTTTTTCAAGATGAACTCCTGTCGGATTTGTTAACGGCTGTTTGATAATCATACAAAGACAATTAAAGGCAACGAAAAGGAATGCAAGGGAATAAATGCTGCCAGTGAGAATAAAATGACAGTTTAAAAAGTTGAATCGGAATAATTTATTTATATTGAGTGTAAGAAAAGATGTACTGTAACCCACATTACACTAAAAGAGCCACTAAGACAGAAAAAGAAACACTGATGCCACCATTGAGATCAATGACTGATAAGTTTTCATACAAAAAGATTGTTTATATTGTGGTTCAATCTTTAATAAGTAGGGTAAAAACAAGGAAGTGTGATGTTTCGCCAGTAAGGACACTAGAACCTACTGTTTTGAATATATGTATACAGAGGAATGACTGTTTGTCTGATACAGTGAGAGCAAGGATAGAACACGTTCACAACTTGCTTGTAGCCGATGCTCTTTACCATCAAACATGTTTATGCTCCTCTAATTTCAGAACTGGAAAAGATATACCAGAAGAATTTCAGGTGCTACCATCTGATAAAAAGTGAAAGATTGGTCGACCAGAAATTACCGAAGCGAGTGACGCTTTGTAAAAGTCGTGACATTCTTGTGCTTATGCTTAGCGAAGATATTTTACAAATTAAAATTTGCAAATATTTTTTTTTTACATTTTATGCTCAAATGTATCAAATATTTGAAATTGACCTTCCAAAAGGTCAATGTCACCTCTTTTGACCCAATGTCAACTCATGATGTTATATATATATAATGACTCAGAAAAAAAAACATATGTGCTTGAAAGTATTCAAGTTAATATAAAACTCAATATTATTATCATAATATAGATTTCCTTAATGTTTCTTTATTTTGTATAAAATTACCCCACCCACTAGCTGTACAATGTTAATATAAATATTTCAATATATGCATTAAATATTGATGGAATGTAAATTAAATTCATAAAACGTTGAAACTTGACAGTTTTCACATGTACGTAAACCATTATGTATTTTCTGTTTAATATCATATAACATAGAGCTTTCAATAAATTGTTGATCTACAGCAATGTAATATTATAATTTTACCCCACCCACTTAAGTTAATTAATAAATTTTAGAAAGGTAAAAGTAGTTTCTTTAAACAAAAACATCTTTTTGATTACTTTATGTTACTATAGGGATAGATTAAGCTATATTTTTATGCATATTATATATAAAACTGATTGGAAAATTGTATGTGTGTAATACATTGAGTTCAAATTACAAAAATAAATACAATGATACCGATATATTTGATCTCAATTTTTGAAAACATTCTCCAATTTAGATTTTTCTAGACTTTTGATATGTTATACAATATAGGTCTGGGGTTTTAAAACACTCAAAATATTTTCTGTTGCAATTTGTTTGAGGTTTGGCTCTATTTTGAGCTAGAATGACTGGACTACTCTCTGATTAACTCGTCCACTAACTCGTCACCTATTTTGTTATACATCAAATAGTTGTAGAATTCAAAGACAATAGACCCAATAGACACGTTAACCACCTCTTTTTTCATGAATTTATCAAGGAAATGTTTTGTTTATTTAGTAACTGAACAGAATTATTCCATTTTCTTTAAGATGTTAAGAAAAAAAAAAGACCGTGAAACACTTCTTTTTAATGAATTTGGCAAGAAAATATACAAAGATCATTTGTAATACTCCTGTAATTACTGTTGTTGAGAAAAAGTAATTGAATGTTTTGAACCTTACCAGTCTTTGTAAAAGACCTGCACTGGCGCTTTGAAGATCTATCAGATCAGTTAACTTAAATGCAAAAATAATGATGTACATGTATAATTAAATACAAAATAAAGTTTGAAACAAAATTCAAAATATATATTTTACTCACTTTTTTTTATTGTAAATGCATAATAAAAGTGTTTTTAAAAAATTACTTTTTCATACCATGAAAATTGTATTTTACAATGTTTTCACTACAGTTAAACCAACATCTAAGAGTCGGAGGAAGAGTTGTCCGGAGAGAGTGAAGACAATTGAGGAGGAAGAGGAGGAGGATCATGGTGACAATGAAAACTTGCCTCTTAAAAAGTCAAACAGGTTGGTAATATCCAATGTCTTACTCATTGGATAAGAGGATATATCTGTTTGAATTGCCAAAAAACTAAACTGAAAGGTTTAAATTACTTTACTTGTATAGTGAATTATTTTTGTTTCAAAATTGTCTGAAAATTCTCATTTGATACATGGAAAAATACCCCTGTCTTGGTTTATTGACTGATTGTATAAAAAATTTATAAACTGGTAAAGTGAATTTATTTTTGTTACAAATTGTCTGAAAAATTCTCATTTGATACATGGAAAAAATACCTCTGTCTTGGTAAATTGACTGATTGAATAAAAATATATGCACCTGTCCAGTTTTCATGGCAAATAGTGTTTTGTTTGTTTTTCCTGGTGTTAATTTTGAACAATGATTATAGTAAGTTTTCCTTAATTGAATTCTGATTTGAAAATACTCAAAAAATAAATTTTTGGAATGAAAATGGAGGTTGAACCCTTTAAGTTATATTTTTGTGCCCCCACATTAGTGGCGGGCATTTAGATTTACCCTTGTCCGTCCGTCCGTTCTCTTTTGTGTCGCATGTAACTCAAAAAGTATTTGACCTAGAGTCATGAAACTTTACAGGAATGTTGATCAGCATGTGAAGTTGTGCACCTGGGTATTTTTGTCTGGATATTTTTAGTATTTTTAGAGTTATTGCCCTTGACTTAGTAAAATTTTGCAATTTTCAACTTGTGTCGCATGTAACTCAAAAAGTATTTGACCTAGAGTCATGAAACTTTAAATGAATGTTGATCAGTATGTGTAGTTGTGCACCTGGGTATTTTTGTCTGGATATTTTTAGTATTTTTAGAGTTATTGCCCTTGACTTAGTAAAATTTTGCAATTTTCAACTTGTGTCGCATGTAACTGAAAAAGTATTTGACCTAGAGTCATGAAACTTTACAGGAATATTGATCAGCATGTGTAGTTGTGCACCTGGGTATTTTCGTGTGGATTTATTTAGTATTTTTAGAGTTTTTGCCCTTGACTTAGTAAAATTTTGCAATTTTCAACTTGTGTCGCATGTAACTCAAAAAGGATTCGACATAGAGTCATGAAACTTTACAGGAATATTGATTAGCATGTGTAGTTGTGCACTTGGGTATTTTCGTGTGGATTTATTTAGTATTTTTAGAGTTATTGCCCTTGACTTAGAACATGTTTGCAATTTTCAACTTGTGTCGCATATAACTCAAAAAGGATTTGACATAGAGTCATTAAACCTTATGGGAAGGTTGCTCAGCATATTTAGTTTTGCTCCTGGGGTTTCGCTTGTGGATTTATCCAGTATTTGTAGAGTTATTTCCCTTGACTTACAGTAGAATAAATTTGCAATTTTCAACTTGGGGTTTGCTTGGGGATTTATTCAGTATTTGTAAAGTTCTTGCCCTTTACTTAGTAAAAAGATTTTTAGTTTTCAAAAATATTTGACCTAGAGTCATAAGATTGACAGAAACAGTGGCCCGGTGGGGGCACCCGTGTCCTAATGGACACATTTCTAGTTTATATTGACTTATTTAAGTTTAAAACTGCAATTGATTATCAGCTTAACAATTTGAATGATTGCTGTAGATTTATTATATGTGATAAATAATTTAAGACAGTTAAAAAACATTATTATTCATGTCACAGAATAACTTTGTTAAAGTAATTTTTTAAAAATTCTTTATCGTAGCATTGGAAGATGAAAGTCAGTTGTGTGGTGGAGAAGTATATGGGTTCAAAACCCCGAAAAAGTCAGTCAGATGGCACAGTTGGCATCAGAGTCAAGAAAACTCCAAATCTATCCTGAAAACACCCAGTGACAAAGAAGGAACTCCTAAAAAATGTAAGATTGTCACATAAGGGTTTGTGTAAAAATAAAACATTTTACATTGATAAAAACTTTTGTTTGTTAAATTTTTGTCTTGTTATTTATCATCTAATAAATATTATGAGTTGTACCGGTAAAAGTCAAAATAACAACACATAATCATTTTAGCCATAATTGCGCTTTTCAGTTATTTATTATACTTTGCATGAATAATCAATAACGCATGTGACACATGGGCATTGCCGCAACAATGCATAGAGACTAGAGAGTGTGGCTATCTTTTTACATTTTAGTCAGTTTTGTATGTTGTCCTACACATTTGTCATTATCAATTATTTGGTCGATCACGATATTAATATAAATGTAATTATGCTCAGCATGACTGTAAATTGGAAAAAATAAGATAAAAGTTTTAAACAAACAGTTTTATAAAGTGTAAATACATGTGTACCATGTGGTTTAGGGCAACATTCAGGAGACCAAATGCTTTTTTTCCTCTTGTAATTGAAGCTCAAAGCTCATGTGACAAAATTTAATTAGTTTTATGAATTAAGTATTTTGCATGTTTTACTTTCAGTAAAACTTGTAATTTGTTTAAAAAGGAAAAAAAATAACATGGCATGTTGTAAAAATGTTATTGTATATCTTCAGCTGTAAATTTTCCATCAACAAAGAATGAAGAAATGAGGACACCTACCGGTAAAAGGAATCTTAGACATAGAAAACTGCAGGCTTCAACACCATATAGATTACAGAAGAGACATGGGGCAGGTGAGGATTAAGTCCCCTTACCAACACTTATTTCACTATTGATCTCGTCATTGAGTCTTATAGTCATTTGTCTCTCATGGCGGATTTAGGAATCCGCTGGGATTAGTACAAGGTCATTTTTGCAGAAACTTGTTATTACTGGTTAGTTACCCAACAAAGCCAGTTAGGTAAATCAAAGATATGACCATAATGTGTTTTAAAATCGACACAAAAACGAAACAAAGGTACAAACAAAACTTATTTTGCTTAAGTGCCAATTTTTAACAGTATGTTAGTCATATAACAGCTTGCAGTTCCCTAACTAGTGTTCCTGGACTGGAGTCTGTATCCAAGTTAACCTGGATATAAAACAAACTTATTCTTAACTCCATCACAGGACTTAACATTGGTTTCTATATTATATACCGGTACAATAAAATGCACATAGAAAAAAATGCATAACTGCCACTCTGAGGTCTACAAACCTCTTAATGCTTTTTGTTTTGTAAGATTCTGACTTTTTGTTGATAGGGGGGTGGGGGGGGGTGGGGAATGAAAGAAGGGAATATATTTTATTGCCTTGACCATTCGAAAGCTTGTCTTGAACATAACTTTAGTAATTCTTTAATGAATTTTCTTTGAATTTTTCATCATCAAACCATGTGTTGTGTGCAAGATGCAAGGAATATGTTTGTACAAGAAAAAAGGTCAGGTGTAAATGTTGACAAAAAAGTTGTTGTTTTTTCTCCCCCAGGTGATTCAGACTCCAGTGACAGTATGGGAGTCATCTAGCTCTGACAGTGATGAGGACATCAAACCCGTGTCCTCGACCAGTAAGTCTCGAACCTCCTCAGCCAGTGCCTCAAACACACCAGCAAATACTCCCGCAAAATCTGAGAAATCCTCTGCAACTCCTAGAAAGTCTCGTAGAAAAACAGAGGAGATAGATATGGTATAATTATACCCTTGTTTATGTTAAGATATTATGCTATGCTAAATACAGTGTAAGATTTTTATGTAAATTGTAAAAACCTAAAGAAATGCAATCAAGCTAGATAAGAAATATTACAGTGTTAGGTTCATTTGATATGCTCAGTTATAATATAGGTAAAGGTGCATTGTGCCTCAAAGATAAATTAAAAAAAATTCTTTAGAACATTAATTTAATTACATTCAAATGATGTTTTTAGAGCATGTAAGATGCTTCTTACCTGAAGAAATAGCAGTTAATGTGAAATGATTTGTCTTAAAGGTAGCAAACTATAAACAAAGTAGTATTTTGACCTTCAAACAAATCACTAAATGACCACAATTGGTGTAAATGCCAAAAAGCAACTGAAGAAAAAGTTGGTTCAGGTAAGTGGCCAATGAGTAACTTTTTGGAAACTATACAAGAATACCAACAATCAAAAGCTTAACCTTTTGAGAAATAGAAGTAACAGTACTTGTGGGGTATATTTGGCCTTTAACCCAGAAACGAATTAATTTTTGCCATACATTTTCATATCATACTGGATTAAGATACCATTAAAGGCCAGTTTAGTAAAGTGATCTGATTCAATTTACAGAAGACTAATGTGGAGGAATATTTTGACATTCATGCTAGTGATGTTGGGCCTACGTCAGATGCTACCTTGTCAAAGTTAGACGTGCCCCGCCTGGATCAGGAATCCCTCATTAATCTGCTGGAAAATGTACAGTCGTCACATATCAATGAATGTAAACAAATGTTTCATGAACTTCAAGACATGTTCACAAACTGGATGTTTCAAATGTGGTAAGTTTTTCTCTCTTTTTTTCTATTTTAGCTCACCTGTCACAAAGTGACATGGTGAGCTTTTGTGATCGCTTTTTGTCCGGCGT